GTGTGGAGCAGCTGGTTCCTCGCTACAGCCCTCGGCTCCTCGATGTGCGGGTGCTCAAGGCCATCCCCAACCCACAGACAGCGCAAAAGGAGCCGCTCACAAGAGACTACAGGTCAGACAGCCGGGGGTGTTGTCTTGAAGGAATGCGTGGAGCAAATGGACGGATGCACACGTTTGGTGCAGGTACAAGTGGCAGTACAACGTTCGTGGCAAGTTCACCATGAAGCAGGGCGTACACAAACCAGGTGGGTGGCTGGGGCGACTCAGGCCCGTGCATCGGAACAGCCAATGGAGGTGTCACACAACCGAGCATATGTGCGTGGCGGGTCGACTGGCCAGGTATCCGCTCGGTGGAGCCGAAGATCCGTCGCCGTCTGTCCAACATCAAGCGCAGATACATGCACCAGAGGGTCGAGGCTGGTCAGTCAGTCAGTCAGTCAGTTCCCCACTCACCCACCCACCCATTCAGCCAGTCAGACACAGGCGCACGTGCTGCTCACTTTCTTTATCGTGTGTGAGCAGGTCTGCCCCCTTACATATGGGGCGGCCCTTACCCCCAGTTCAGACGAAAGCGAAACCGGTACGCACACAGACATGGACGCATGTCATGTCTGTGGATGGATGGATGACGGATCATATGGGGATACGACACATGCAAAAGGGGCGTTTCATTCCTTTGCGCCTGCCTTTGTTCTCGTGTGTCTTGGGCCTGCATTCCATTGGCAGGCTGATCAAGGCTGAGATGAATCGACGCGCCCTCATCTACTCGCTCGTAAGTCAGCCACAGTGCCCTGTCACTTTCTCTCTGTTCATTCGTGTCTCGTCTTGTTTTTCGGATGCAGGATGAGCAGCGGCGCCGCGCCCACCGTCTGCGCAGAAGGCGACAGAAACAGAAATGGGGCGTCTACAAGGTAGGTATACAGACAGGTAGACACACGGACGGACGAGAAGACTTTGTCTGTCATCCGTCCGTGTGTGGCGATATGTAGATTGACAAGGAGCCCAAGATCACGGCCATCACAGCTCTGCCGTCCTACCACCCGCTAACCGAAGGCAATTTGCCCAAGTAGATCGATACATGGGCGGTATGTGCAGAGGAGTCGCTGCATGCAGCCGGCCACATGAGTGGCTGCGACGGATTGCCGAGACATTTGAGGTTCAAGTGCAATTGTACGCACCCATGGCAGCCATATTCTCCATGGTCACACTCGTCCGCACCAGACATTTGTCCGAATCCCAGGTGTAGCCAAGGATAGCCTTGTCATATACCACTATCCTGCGGTGATTCTACTTGCCTCGCGCTGCTGATCATTGTGAATATCCGGTTTGCCTGTCAAACGCTCACTGGGCGCCGGCGGTCAAGCCGACGGGGAGAGCCATTGAGTTGTCTGATGTCTCAGAATGACAGCAGAAACACGCAGGAAACCACGCAGGAAATGGCAATTGACGGAGTTTTCATTTCGTCACAGCTAGCCTCCAGTTCTAGTGTGGTTACCCGATGAATGGGTGCATGGGTGGGTGGGTCGGTATGTGGGTGTTGGTGATTCCGATCCCCTGTCTGGCGAGACATCATTCATGTTGGTTCGTTAATGTACGTGTGGATAGCGATAGCTAATGGGCTGGACGGCTGTCGTGTGTGTGTGTGTGTGTGTGTGCGCGGCTGCATGCATGTGCGCTTGCCTGCCTGCTTGCTTGCATGTTTGTGTGGCACCGACGCGCTAGTGTCAATTGCACCATGTTCTCTGTATGCCAGCACATGGCACGACGAGCTTTTCACCTCACTCACGATTAGAAATTAAGAGTGATCAGGGACAGACAGCATTTCCCGTTTCTCTCCAGGTTAGTCGACCTTGATGACCATGTACTTGTTCCACGCACACTCATGCGTCTACATCGGTCTCACAGAAAGTGCTAGATGGCTTAAGCGGCTCTTCCCAGGCGAGACAGAAACGACCAAAATGTGAAGTGAAAGCAATATGGATTGATATGAGAAATCGACATGTCCCTGACCATGGCTCGGTCTTCTCAACTCACTGTCACACATACATGACAAACAGACAAAGCAGACAAAACAAACCAAAACAAAGCAGTCAAAACAAAACACCCATCCATGCCGTGCACCGGCTGTGCTATCTATTGAATGCTCTCCGAAGTGCATAAATGCTGGGAACATGAAGTAGGGCTGAAAGTAGAGGCACACATCGACAAAAGAAGCGTCCGCGTGCTTGTCTGGGTCGACTGCGTGCAGCATGAAAAATTTGACGAGCACAGCAAATCCGCTCGTCCTGCACGCAGCTCAGAGACAAACAAATACAGACAAGTCAAGGCCGAAGGCGCGATGTGCATTTCTGGATCGATTAGAACTCACACGATGACAAATTCGAGGAGACAGGTGAGGATTGAGGCCTTGACGACACCTGGCTCGTCCTCTGAGCACAACAGCGGCAGGTTATGGATTCGAACCATCCAGAGCACATGAATGGTCTCAAACGCGCCCTCAACCACGAGCAGCACGACCAGGCCGGCGATGCTCGTGAAGAGGCTGGCAAGAGATGCGTCTTTGTGCCATATCTGGTTGATGACCAAGACCATCAAGTTGGTGAAGATCAAGGTCGCAATCTCTGCCATCGACCACCTGCACATCAGCACAGAAGCGGATCAAACATAAGAAGCAAACCTGATAACAGTGGATCGATTTCATGTGTCTCTTACAGACGAGCTTGGTCCGAAAGAAGGCGCATGTATCGGGGGCTGACCTCTAATGAGGCGAATGCTGACTGCATGTTGGCCGCTTGAGTGAGAAAAGAGACCGATCTGCCCAGAGTTGCGCGCATGGAGGGCACTCTTGTCTTGATTGTTGCGCTTTGACGTGTCAAAGGATCATTGCCCTTTTCCTTGCTGGAAGCCGCCTTGCCGTGCCCGTGATTGGTCGCTGCCTTCCATGTGTCCGCTACTACGCCTGTGTCTCTAGTGCATCGACCCGACTTGAAAAATCTCCAGACGGCGAGGTATATCAATGTCCCTGCGTGTGCAGCACACGATGGCAGCGAATGTAAAACGATAGCTGGATCGATTCCCGTGTGTGTGCTGCCTGAAGACCTACCCTACGGAAGAAGTATGTCAGTAATGAGATCAAAGCTGATAGAAGAAAAGCATGAACGAGAGAGATATACAGAGGCGAGTCAGTTTTCTGTTTGAACAGAGTGCAGCTTACAATGCAATGGCAACCGAGGAGAGGAGTTTGCTGCTCAAGCTGATCATCTCGGCCTGTCACACAACCACAACCGCATCTCTGCCTGTCTTACAATGCGGTGCCGTACCTGGATGAGCCTCGGTGTGAGTAGGTAAGGTACCGCAATCCACATGATCACAAGACCATTGCATGTCGGCGGGCCCTCCTGAACGGTAGACATAGGCAAATTGTGTTCAGCAAACAACGATCCACAGTCGAATCCGTACGCGTAGCGATCTGACGATCTTGTTTGCCAGAGAGATGACAGGCCATCCAAATACGACACTCTGCAAAGCAATCTGAGCCTAGCATGAAAAAGAAAAGAACATACACAATACACATACACATGGATCAGTATGTACAAGTGAAGCGCTCCATCTCATGCTTACTGGTACTCACCTACCTTAGCGTAGTCGTCTGGAGCCATCGCGCCACGAGGCAGGAAGTAACTCACTGAGAACTTTCCAAACACAATTTGGCTGAGGAGCACCGCCGTTCCCACCTTCAACACATAAGCGCGTATCTTCACAAAGCTTAATAACTTGGCGACGCGGTACTTTCACGAGCTGAATGAATGAATGGTTGGACTGACGGTGTATGTTGGTTGGACTCGACAGATGCCGTTCACGCATACACACATCTGTCCCTCAACACAAAATGCCAAGTTCGACATTATGGCGACCACTATGTTTATACCGCCGATAATTTACTTCCTCCCTGGATACGTCCAGGGAATAAGTAAGTGGTGCACCATCAACACAGCGCCAAGAACAAATGCCTTTAGAGTAGGGCGCCACTGAAGATGAAGCACGACAGCATCTAACATATGTAACGCCGCCACTATCGCCAATATCAGCCAGGACTTTCTGAGAAGAGACATGTTGCGGCGAAAATTGGCTCCTGTAACCGCAAGCCCCGCTGCAAGAATACATCCATAAGAAAACACCAGCAAACGAATGACATCGACGGCAGGGCCCAGCATCCTAGACTCGCAGCTGAACCAAAATATGAGTAGCATGCTGATGACTACAGTAGACACACACAAAGCGGCCGCGAGCTGCCACAGCATCATCTTGCCGATCCGCCGCATGGTCGACCACAGAGGTTCCGCATTGAAATAGGTGCCGACTGCCACCTCTCTTGTGCTGCCATCGGGATCACGGACGGTCTTGTACTTGAGGGTCGTGCAAAATTCTTCGAAGTTAGCTTCGTATCCTGCAGCCTCTCTGAACCTGCAGTCAGACAAATCTCACGTACACAAATGTTCGCTTAAAATGAGCCCCTTACGTACTTAGCCACCGAGGCAGCTATCGCTTTCTCCTCCAAGCGATGAATGTCATCCAGGACGGGCTCTTCGTCGCCTTCTGTCCGGTCGCCCTGCTTATTTTGGTCGTCCACGGCGATTCCCGTCGTGTGTGATGCGGACAGCATGGAGCGATAGGGCGCGATGCGCTCATGGGCCGGCTCTGCCGTTCTCAGGATGCACTCATCAGCTAGATCCTCATCTTCCTCGGTGCCATTCTCCTCTTTGTCGCCCAGAGCATCCGTTGTTTGCTGTTGACCGATATCGTCGCCCTCTTCTCCCCATGGCTCCGTGGCGTCGCCAGCTGATCGAAAAATCGTCGTGGTTCCACGCTCCGGCGAGAGAGGACAACTCAAAGGCTGCATCATGCCTGCCTTTCCAATTCATGCCCCCACCCCAGATGTATTTAGGGTCGGTGTGGCACGTGTAACGGGACGAATGGTGGGAAGGAAGTTCAAATGGCTGATTCTGTTGCCACCGTCAAGTACGCACATACACATACATGTAGGCTGAGTACCGTCAGATGTGCGCCAAAAACGGACTCAGGTATTACTGCCTCACGTTCCTCATCGCTGCGGTCGTTACAACACTCCTCGACGTCGCGTGGATCAATCTCTTTGTGCTGCCGCAATACCAACCAATGGTTCACGCGGTTCAAGGTCAGATCAGGGCAGAGCAGGGCGATGGAAAGCAACGTACGCGACTCACCTGTGTATGTCGGGTCATGCAGGAGCGAGCATGGGTGTGCGGCCCCTCCCCGGGCTTCTCGCATACTTGTTTATCACCCTGGGCGTGACGGTACTGTCGGTGTCAACTAGATCTGCGCATCCTTTTCGTCTACCTGTTGGTTTTGTCGGTTTCATCTCCAGGTCGTCACGCCGAAAGATCAGTTGCGGCCGTTTAGAGAGACTCTCTTTGCGGCACTTTTCGGCGTAAGCAGCACGGAGCAGGGAGAGCGCACGTCGACGCCCCATGGACGTCGAGGATGGGTATGTGTGCGTTCGTCTATTCAGCTGGTCGTCTACGGTGTCTACGCATGGACAGTGTGCGCACTGCTAGCCAAGTAAGCATGCGGGACACAATGTCTTTGGTTGATCCGTCTGTATGTCTGGCCGACTCAAATCAGGTGGTCGATATGGGTAGCGGTGGGGGACACACTGTGGGGACCGGTAGCCAATGCCATACCACGGCACACCACAGCTCACCTCACACACCCACCACCATCTACCTGGTTTGTTTTTTCTTCCTGCTCAGGTGCTCTACGGGGTGTCAGCCTTCGTGACGTCATTCATCTCGTATCGATGCGGGGTCAGACCGCCAACCCCGCTGCTGGCGTGTGATGCCAGCGACAGGGGGCGCTATTCGAATATGGATGACCGGTGAGTACGCTAAGCTAGCCCAGGCGATGCCCTCACGCACGATAGGTAAGCAAGAGACAGCTTTGTGGAGCAGCAAGGGAAAAAGGCCGTCGCTCGCCTCGCCTGCCGTGTCTGTGTTTGCAGGGCCCTCTCCGCCAAGAACGAGTAGAGATGGTGTGTGCATGTCCGAACTACAGCCGGCTGGGAGATCTCTCCGGCTTTTCTTTTTGTGTGTCGATAGCAGCTGCTGTGTGTGCCGCTGGCGACTCTGTCCATCTATATGTGCCATCTCCGTCACTGATGTGACCGATGCTGCGTTGCGCCACGTTGTACTCTTAGGGGGACGCTGCCTGTGTGCAATGGCTAGTATATCTGTGGGTGAGTCAAGCTGGTGACGCGGCGGCATGGAAATCACTGACTGTCAACCCTTTCCATCGTGGGCTCCTGATTTTTCCTGTTGGTTCATGTCACCTCGATGGACACGTATATGGGTTAGATGAGTGAACAGAGCCAGTCACTGCAACGACACACAGGGGTCCCTATTGGTCAGACGTCTCAGCCAGGACTGCAGGCAGGCAGGCAGGCAGGCAGACACACGTTGACGTGCGTGTAGTCCGCGAGCGGCACACAGCACAGCCGCCCGCTGCATGAAGACAGCCAAAAAAGACAGTCAAAGAAAGCCATGGATGAGGGGTCTTCTTCGGCTGTGTGCCATCGGCGGCGGCTTGTTAGACATCCCACATATGCACCGCGGGCAACTCTCGTCAACATAGGGCGCGAAGACCGGTAGGGTCTCAAGCGGCTAACCAGACAATGCCCTCACCGAAGAGCGCCTACTGGAACCCGTCAGCATAGTCGTCACCCTCGATGAGATGGGGTCAATGGTGGAGCGAGGGACGCAGGGAAGGCTGTGCGGCACTCCGGGCACCTTGCGGTGCCCATTGCCGACATGCGGCTAGTCAGATTCGGCTCGGGTTGAGATTGCCCTTCGGCAGCAGTAGAGATTGCCCTTCGGTTGGTGGCCAAGCAGGAGGGGGCAAGGCAAGAAGTCACACATGCCGTTGGAGTACAAACGGCTTTTTGCGAGCTCGCGTACGAGGAGCTTTTTCTTTTCTTCCCTTCTTCTCCCCCCTCTCCCGCCAGCCCCCCCCACAAGTGGCTGAGTGTGCACTGAAGAGCACTCTGAGTGAGTGAGTGAGTGTCACTGAGTGAGTGAGTGAGTCCATCGTAGCAACAAGACCGCACAGCACTCTGGCCGCCACGCACGTACGCACCAAGGAGCTGAGCTGAGCTGTGGTGGTCTTCCCTGGTGGCAGCAAAGCGACGGGCAGCAGCGTGGCTGTTGAGTACTAGTCCTGAGGGGGGCAGCCCGACTGGTGTGGTGCTTCCTTCGGTGTATCTCATCCTATTATCGGCTGTCGGCTGGCTGGGTTGGTGCTGCCTGACCCATGGAGCGGCATGAGGATGGGATGGGGGGCCACGGTTTCCACTGAGAAGTGACCCACTGAGTGACCAGGGTAACGCGCCTGTCTGTCTATCTGTCTGTCCCGGCGGAGCGGACGGCCTAAGCTGTCGACCGACAACAGCCGTCTGCGTCTGCTCGACAACAGCCTCGATCGTTACTATTCATCGAACCAACCGACCAACCAACCAACCAGCCAACCAACCAGCCTCACCGAGCACCCACCCACGAGCCCCAGCAACGCCCCACCGACCCATCGACTGACCGACCGACCGACGTTGTCAATCGCCCATCTTTCCCTCTCTCCATCCCCTCTTTTCTCTCCCTCTCTCTCCCGGTTCGTCAGCCCGTCTGTTGGTCTGCGTGGGTGCGTGCGTGAGTCCGTGGGTGAGCGAGGATGACTGATGTGGGTGGGACTTCGTCGTCTGCCACGCACAAGTACCTGCACGATGAGGACATGGCCCGCTTTCGCACACGCATATGCGACCAGATTCAGAAGTATGGCAAGTGCGACCGCATGGACAGGTGAGTCTGTTAAGGGGAGGGAGGGAGGGGAGGGAGGGATGCAAGCATTATGTGCTTTTGTTCATGTGGTGTTTGTTTCTGGTGTGTGCCGTGCAGGTGTCCACACAGCCACTGTCTGGCGTGGCAGAGAAGGAACCCCATGGAGATACCCTACTGGTGAGCCAAAGGGCCCAACTACAACACACGTGTGGGGGTGCGGCCATCCATCCATCCATCGGTCGTCGATTGGTTAATTAATTGGTTGATTGCTTGATGGCTTTCTCTGTTTGTTTGTCTTGTGGTGCAGGCCTGAGTTGTGTCCGAACATATCGTTCGTCAAGAAGGGCGAGAAGATGAGCCTCATCAACAACTGCACCCACAGACGCAGATGCAAATACGCCCACAGCAAAGAGGAGCAGCTCTACCACCCTCTCAGTAAGCAACACATAACACAACACAACATGACACTCACACTTTGACACGATTGACACTAACACTAACACCTGTTCACATGTGTCCGTCTCTCTCTCTCTGTCTGTCTGTCTGTCTGTCAGCCTACAAGATGAAGTTCTGCCTGGCCCACCCTTCGTGTCGTCGGTACTTCTGCCCCTTCGCCCACTCGCAAGAGGAGCTCCGCGACGCCACGGGCGTCACATACAACCCTCCCTGCACCCCGCCCCCGTCCGCACCACTCAACGGCTTCTTCGGCTCACAGCAACAGCAACAGCCGCAGCCGCAGAGGTCCAACAGCAGCCAGTACGACTCGCCCCCCTCCCCCGTCAGCCGGTCAAGCAGCAGCACCACCACGGCATCCAGGCAGCACACCATCAGCAACAGCAGGCACAAGTACGGCACCGGTCTGGAGCACGGCGGCGGTGAGTCGGTGCCCATGCCTGCACAGGCTCACCAGAGGGCTGAGGAAGAGGAGATGGCCGTGAGGAATGGCAACGGTGGCTCGGGGGTGTTGCGTGGGGTCGGAGTGCCGCCACCTGGGGACCAGCAGGAGGTGGGAAAAGTCCACCAGCCCCCTCCACCTCAGATGCCCATGAACCGACAGAGGAACGGCCCGCAGCAGATGGGCAACGGCAGCCGCCCGGCCAACAACAACAACAGCGGCGCCAGTCCGTCAGTGCCGCAGCAGCGGTCACGCTACCGCCCGCTGCATCGCCCCCCACCAGTGCAGATCCATCCCCCGCACCCCATCACGCCGTCCATGCCCGTCTCCACCACCCACATGAGCCAGGGGGCGCCCCCCGAGCCCGTGGGCACGCCCCCCGCCACGCCAGCCCCCAACCCATGCGACGTGCAGACGTCTCCGCCCCACCCCCACTCGTCCTCGGTCAGCGCGGCTGCGGCCGCCGCGGCGTTGGCGGCCCACCTGATTGTGACCGGCATGGGGGGCCACCACGCCGGAGGCCACCCCCACTCTCAGGCGCCCATGTCACTCCCCAATTTTTCCACCCTGACGGCGCTGCTGGGAGGGGGCAACGGCAGTGCTGGGGGCGGTGTGGACCAGCAGTGCCTTCCGAGAGTGCCATCGCCGCCCAGCAGCAGCGGTGGGGTGGTGGGTCCGCCACCAGGTTTCGGTGCGCACGACGCCTATGCGCCGGGGGATGTGCCGGGGATGGCTGGAGGTGTTGGTATGGGCGGCATGGGCAACATGGGGGGCATGGGCGTGGGTGTGGACGATGGCGAGATGGACTTCAGCGTGGCCATTCAGCAGCAGCTGCACTACCACCTGCAGCAGGCGGGCATGATGAACGTCGTCAACAACGGCAACAACCAGAGCAACTACCCCAACGCCAACGACATCTCCGTCCCCCTCTCTGCCGTCCTGCCCTGGCTCAACCGGGCCGCACTCATGCAGGCCTCACAACACAACGCCCAGCCACCCGCACCCACGCCCCCACCACAGCAAGGGGCACCACCACCACCACAGCCGCCTCCCCCAGACCATTCCCACACCCACCAGGTGCCCCAGGAGGACCTCTCCCAGCGTCTTCACATGGTGTCGATCGGCGTCCAGGGTGGCGGCGCGAGCAGTGGGTCGCCGCACTCGAAGGGAGGCAGCGGCAGCAACACGGGCGGCAGTGGCAGTGGCACCCGGAGCCGCAAGTCGAGCAGTCGCGACACGCCTCCCGGCACTTCGCATGAGCTGAGACGGCCGAGGTATGGTGGGAGTGGGGGCGGCGGTGGGGGCGGCGGTGGGGGTGGGGGGTCGCGGAGTGTGGACGAAGGCAGGGAGAGGGAGAGGGATGCGGCTGTGGACGACACGCCGACATCTGTGCCTGTGGAGGCCGGTGGGTCGGGAGGGTGGACGGGAATGAGCTTCTGTGGATTTGAATGACTTGTGTATGTGGGTCGTTTGGTTTGCTGCTGTGTTGATGCAGGCACGCACCCTCCTGGCGAGGCGGAGAAGCTGCTATCGAGCGTCGACAGCCGCAACAGAATAGCAGGTGACCGACACTGGTGCGGCACTCGTGCATCCAATCATTGACAGATGCATGCGTCAAGTCAATTGTCTCTATGTCTTTTGTTTTGGCGTCTTGACAGGTCTCGAATATCACCCTCACCACCCCCACCACCAGCCCTATCAGCACTATCAGCAGCAGCAGCACCCCAACACCGCCCCGGCCCCTCCGTCGCCGGCAGACCCCCTGCAGCCCTTCCCGCTGGGCTACCCCTCCCCCTCTCTCTTCGACCCCGCTGCCATGGCCCCCTACCCCCACAACTACGGATACCACCTCCCTCACACACTTTTGGACACCAACAACACCAACACAACCGCCAACAACTCGGCCAACCCCACCACGGCCACCAAGACAGTGGTCACCGCCCAGACAGGGGGCCTACCTCACCAGCACCAGCCAAGTTGCAAGGGCGGTACGAGCGAGGTCGACACGCATTCGATCGCAACGGGGTCGCCGGATGCCTTTGGGCAGTCGGAGAGTGGGAGCTCGTCGGCGACGGCCGCTGGAGGGGGCGGGGCGAGTGGCGGGTACATGCACCACTCACAGAGGGAGCAGTGGCGGACGGCGGTGGGCATGCAGGACAGGGAGGGGGACCGATACGCCTGCCAGATGATGCCACACATGAGTGTCCCGCCGCAGCCCCTCGAGGCACTCAGAGGTACGCGAGGGAGAGGGGGAGAGAGAGAGACGGAAGTGGCAGGTGGCCGGATTGAGTCCTTTCTGTTTTGTGTGTGATATTGGTCAGCACCGTCGTCAGGTTCGTCTCACTCGCCGTCTGACCGTGAGGACGTTCACTCCAACGGTTGCGACGCGCCCAGCCTGCACAACACGAGCGTGGGCGGGTCCTCCTCCCCACACCCACACGACCTCACCGCCACCGGCAGCAGCGTCGGGGACGCCTCTCCGGTCCACGCTCGGTCCCTCTTCTTCACCCCTATAGAGACGCTCATGGGCGCCGCCCACCCGCACCCCCAGTCCAACCACTCGTCGCCATACTCGCCTTCCTTTCCATCGGTAGGCGGGGTCGGTGTGGGCGGCGGGGCCGCTTCCCACGCCCAGACGGCGCACACGAGCCACCCGCACCACACGAGCCCCTCGAGCCAGGGCAACCAGAGCGACAGCCCGCACGACAGCCGCCAGAGTCTCTGTGAGAGCACCACGGGGCAGGGCGACACGACCCAGCCGCCCTGGAGCAACGACAGAGGGGCGGCAGACGACAAGTGGGCCAAAATCGCAGCCGCATTCCGGACGTAGCTTGACAGACAGATGGGGAAATAGATAGAAGTGGTGTGGGTAGGCTTGGCTGGGGGGGGGCATTCGCTGTGGCTGTGTGCGGTGTGCCGTGGGTGTACAGAACGTCGTGTAAAACGTAAGTAAGTCTGACTGAGTAGGTACGGATGGCTGGCTGGCTGGCTGGCTGTCGGGGGGGCATTGTGGTGAGTGCGTGAGCGTGAGTACGGTCGGTCGGTCGTTCGGTCGGGCAGGGAGAAAGAGAGACAGAGACAGAGACAGAGAGACAGAGTCGACAGACAACGGCTAAAAGCGTAGCAGTGGACTGCATGGGCTGGGGCCACGTCTGGGCGGGGTGGGCTTGTTCGTCGTGTCGTGGATGGATGTATGGATGACGTGTGAGTGAGTGTACAGACAGACAGACAGACTGGCTGCCTGCGTTGCATTCCATGGGCGTCGGGGAGGGGGAGGGCGCACGCGAGACAAAGGGGAGACTCAGACAGACAGAAAGACAAGACAGGCGCCAGCAAGCAAGCTGTCTGTATCGTAGAGCAAGGAACGAAGCGAGCCATACCGACCGACACGGACTCGGCATTTGATACACTCACTACCCATCTCACTCACTAGAAGAGACCTTTACTGCCTGCCTGGCTGGCTACCCGTATCGTACTCTCGCTCACTGCTAGTCATCTTCTGTTTATGTACACACACACACACACCATGCCACATCACATCACACACACCACATTCTTCATGACGCTGACGCCAGGGCGGGTCTTGACGAGGCCGACCGCCCGACCGCTGAATGCCTGCGTGAATGGATGGATAGATGGACCTACGGAGGAAGGGAGGGCGCCCAATTTTGCCCATATGGGCCGGGCGGGCTCACAGATGGATCGATGGATGTATCGGTGGATGGATTGCTGCACATCGATACGGGGCTGGCGTGAGTGAGGGTTCTTTTTGGCTGAGGGGGAAAAGGCAGGCAAGGCAAGGCAAGGCGTGGCGAGGATGTTGCACGTGTGTGGTGTGGGTGTGGGTGTGGGTGTGGGTGAGCAGACCGGGGGACGTGAGTGTTGGGGGAGGGAAGGAAGCAAGGGTTGCTGGGTGGTTGGGCTGGTGGGCGGAAGCAACACAGCGGATGGGTCCGCTAATTTTCAACGGACATTGCTGCTGCTGTGTGCATGTGACGTGATATCATTATGACACGGTGACGTGTGTGGGCGTGGCTGGATGGATGGAAGGATGGAGGGAAGGAGAGCGGACTCCCCGCGATATTTAAACCGCCTGTATGGTCGTATCTATCCATCGTGCACTGTCTGACTCGCTCACTGGCTGTCTGATTGTCTGGCTGGATTACTCATCCTTCCATCGGTACGTACGCCCGATCCTCCCCTTTGTTTGCTCCCTCCCGCCCTTCGTCCGCCTGTCTGTGGTGTGTGTATGTGTGTGTGTGTGTGTGTGTGGAGTGCCTCCGTCCCCTCCCATCCCCTCTCTGCTTGATTGTTCTGCTTAGGAAGCAAAGTCGATATCGCTCACAGGACGGCGCGAGAGAAATACGTCGGCCGTTCTGTCTGTCTGTCTGATGGATGCCTAGTGATCACTGTTGGTGTGGGTGGGTGGGTTGGTGGATTGGTGAGAGGGTGGGTGCTCTATCGAAAGGCGGCTTAGTGAGAGCCAATAATTAGCATCTTTGCTGCCTGTGCGGCCGTAATTCGACCGATCGACCGACCGACCGACCGACAGACCGATCGAGACAAACGGACAAACCAATCGATTGAGGCGGCAATGACTGCCCTCCGGCTGTGCGTGCCGCCTGCCTGCCTGCTTTCTTGCTTGCTTGATTGCTTGGTTGCTTGATTGCTTGATTGCTCTTGCTCCGAATTCACTCCTTCATCGACTGGACGACCACTGCGCCACGCAAGCACACACGAGTGTCTGCATGCCTCGCTCTGTCTCGGTTGCCTTGTCTCTCGTTTTGCTGAGTGGTTGGTTCGTGAGTGCACACGACACACACGCACACCAGGCGGGCCTTTTCCCTCCGTCTTTTCTGTTGCTGCTCGGAATTCGTGAAGGCGTGCATAGGCAGGCACTCGATGACATGGCTTGACGGACGACGGCTCGGTTGGTCAGTGAGCCGTCATTGTGCAATGGTGTGTCGCGGGCGTGGCTGCGTTGGCGTACGCACCCGATTCGTTTTTGATGCATTGGGGTGATCCATCAACGTGTATGTATGTATGTGTGTATGTATGTATGTGTACATATACTTACACTGCCTCTCTGCTATCGTATTTGACCAGCCAATCCACCAATCCCCCCTCCCTCCCTCCCTTCCTTTCCCCTCTTGCTTGTATGCTGCCTATCGTAAATCCACCAATCAATCAATCTATTCCACACACATCCATACCATCCCTCTCCCTGTATACTTCTTTCTCTCTTCCTCTCACTTACTCCTCGCTCGTACGGCCGTGCTACCTACCAGAGATGATGCGACTCGCTCTGACACGCACGTCCCTTGCGTGCGTGCGCTTCTTTGGGCCTGGGTGGGGAGGGGGAAGGCACTCACGGATGTGACTATCGTATTGTGACCAGGGAGGGCGTACGTATTGATTCTATCGTATTTTGCACTGTGAAGACATACGCAGGGACAGCACACAGACAGACAGGCAGAGCGAGACGCGGTCAAAGAAGGAAGTTTCATAACCGTGCTCGCGTGCCGCTGCAAGGAGGCTACAGAGAGACAGTGGCCTTGTCTGTCTGTCACACGAGGAAACAGGCATGAGCGAGCCATTTCAGCCGATCGGCTGGTGCAGCTTGGCTGCGCTGGGTGCGCATGTCGGCTCTAGTCGTTTTTCGAGTATGTATCATCTGTGTATGTATACACATGTCCTGTATGTTTGTACGTGTGTACATCTGTATGTATGGATATGTATCTATCGCAACGCCAGACAGTCCGGCGGTGCCGTTTTCCTGGCTGAAGACTTTCTCACACACACATACAGACGTGCAGACAGACAGAGAGACAGGCCATCGCGGCAAGGCGGGCGATGCACGGGCCCATGAATGGATGCACGACATAGCAGGTCCACATGCGTGCCGATTCGTTTTTCGTTGCTGCAGTAGCAATGCCGGCCTGACCTGGCAGGGAGGGAGGGAGAGGGGTGAATATGACGTGCTGAGGAGCTCTGTCTCACTCAGGATACACATCTCTGATTTCATTTCTTTCCTCTCTTTCCATGCATGTACGCATGTATGTATCTCCATGCATAGCATCGTACCGTCACATTTCTTTCTCTTTTCTGTCCCGGTGTCGTCTCCTGCTGTTGCTTTGCCGTCGCTTGAGCTCACTCTGAAACGCCCACGCACCCTCCACATATGTAGGCTGCTCTGAGGGATCTCGGGAGCACGACCACCCGATCTGTCTGTCTGTCTGTCTTGCTGCTCACACGCCCGCACACTCACGCTCTCACCTTGCTTTCCTCTGCTCCGCTCTCGTTTTCTCTTTCGTGTGCCTGAGTGCCGGCCTGTGGTGCTTTTCATCCGATTGCTCTTGGTGGGGAGGTCAATGGGTCGGTGCGCGGTGTACTTCCCCTGTGTGAGTGCCTGTGTGTGTTGTGGTGTTTGTACCCTCCCAGCCAGCTGTGTGTGGTGCGGGTTTTGACGGATTGACTGACGATTCATCAGCCAGATGGACGAATGGATGGATGGATAGGCTTTTGCACGCACAATGGACGACGCGACATCCGGGCAGGCGGGCAGACAGACGGTCACACGAGCGATTTTTTCTCGTGCGTCACGTGAGCTACCGTGAGTTAGGGCCAAAGAAGGCCCGTCTGTCTGTCTGTATGCCTGCCTTGTTTGCCCACCTGCTCGCCTGCCCACACTGCTGTCTGGCTGCCTGGCTGCCTGCCTGTGCTCACCAAAACGGAGAGAGAGGTGTGGCTGCGTGAAATGGATGGATGGATGGATGGATGATGCGGGCGCATGATCGTGAGCGTGTGAATGTCTGTATATTGGCAAGTTTCACCACCACTGATTGGAGCGAGGGAGGGATGGAGGGATGGAAAGAGATGCTGTGACGGATCCTCAAAGCAAGGATGACAGCCAGTGAGCTAAGCAAGCAAGCCATAGGCAATCAGTGACGGGGACGAACGAATGAGCAGTGTACGTCATCGCAGGTCTCACAAAGAAAACAAGGGACCGACACAGACAGACAGACAGACAGACAGCATCAATGCCTCAGAGGGAGGGAAGTGACGAAGGGAGAGAGACGAGAGCCAAGAAAGACACAGCAGCGGGCGGTGTGCTTTTCAGCACCCACAAGTTGTCCGCTTGCTCACAGCTCCTGCCACTCTCTACCCTCCCATGTATCATTCCTCCTTCCTCATCCGTTTGTTGCTCTTTTCCCTTTGTTGTGGTGCACGGACGAGACACAGACAGACTTATGTGGGGGCGTGTGTGGTTGGCTGGCTGGTGGCTGATGACCGAAGAGAGTCGCTTGCTTTTTCCCTAAGAGACGCATGACACGATGGATGCGTGCATGCATGATGGATGCAGCCACGCATAGAGCTCCTATAGGCGATGAATCATGCACCTTTCTGACACAGCGCAAGTTCAAAATGTTTTCCACACAAATCAGAACGGCATGGTTTCAGTTGTGTTGAATTTTCACTGCGCATGTCCAAGTATCTATCCGTCAAACACAGCGCTACAGAGAGGCCAGCTTCTTCTGCGCCGAGCCATTCTCGGGGAAGAGCCACCCTGGGACACATGCACACGCACAGTGCAACCGTTTGATGCTCACTTGCACTATGCGCTCACCCCTCTCTTTGATCTTTTTGTACACTCCGTCAAACGTCCACCCTTTCTTGTTGTTGACATACACGCGGTCGCTGGCACTGTTTCCCCCGTAGTCGAAAGTCTTCCTGACCCACCGGCCCACATCCCGAGCCAGTCAAACCGAACACTCAGCCAATGTGCGTCAGCCTTGATGGGTGTTGGATGGGCTCACCGTCGTGTGGTCACCGAGTCTCGTGGCCTCACTGGCGATCGGTGCCTTCTCGATCGAGACCCACTCCTGGCCTGATTGTTCCTTTTGTACACTCGACCACAGGGAGAGACACGTTATGTCTTGCATTGACGGGCGACCTTCTTTACTGTGACTCGGTGACTCCGGTGAACTTCGGCTCGTCTTTGTCCTCCTTGTCCCGGGCGTGCCGCTCCTCCCGCACTCTGACTCCGTACTGAGCAGACGATATTGCCGGACGGCACAATGCGTGCCTTCCTGCCTGGTTGGCTGGTGTGGTGCATTCATATGTGACGTGTCGCTTGGCTGGCTGGCCGGCTGAATGCTTGGTTCTTGCTTTGAATGGCCGGCGGGTGGGAGATTCTTCCTCGTCCTAAGGCTCTGTCTTCTTCGCCAATCGTGTCTTGCTACACACGTACGGGTGCATTGCATCTCTTACGTGTGCCCCCTCCCCTCTGCATCCTTCCCTCTCTGCTGAGTCTCTGGCTTGACCAGTCTATTTTCTTGGCATGCCTATTTTCTCGGCAATTGCTTGGTGATCTCTCTACCCATGGATGCGCCTCATGGCTGCCTTGTCTTGTCCACGACAGACTATCGCATGCACGTGCGTTGGGGTCTTCTTCCGTGTCTGCTAGGGCTATCTGTGCATTTCCATATACCCGAATTACTGGCCGATTCAAACTAATGGCGCTGCCTTGCTTCTTTTCCGATCTCTGCCCTGGCTGCAATGCCCCTGCCTGCCGTGTGGAGCTGAGTGTTCGTTTGCACCAGCCAATACAGCCATTATCTCCCTCTCTATCCCCGACCTTGTGTGTGTGCGTGTCACTCTTCTCGGCCCCGTTGATTGTTGAAGGTGAAGGTCAAGATCTCGCTGCCTGTTTTGTCGGTCATGGATGGATTTACGACTGCCTGTCTGCTGTGTGTCTTCAGAGCCTTGCGGCAAACTTTCCTTCCTCCTTCTGTCTCCTTTTCTCCGGCTCTCTGCCTATTTTCTAGTTCTTGCTAGATAGACAAGTCTGACAACCTACCTCTCCCCGTTTGTCTTTCGGTTTCTCTTTCGTTGGATGTGTGTATGTGTCTCTCGCTGCGTGTGTGTGTGCGGCTCTTTTTTCTTGTTGCGTACAACACGCACATAGTCGCGGACGAATACAGAGATAACGAATTGACAGAGAGGTCTGCTCACAGTGAGCGGGCCGGGCATCTGTCCACCGTCGCAGCCAGGCACACTGACTACTTACTTTTCATTGAGACACGAGGCTCTCGGCCATGAACGTATGTACACCACCCCACCACACATACATGGTGTGCCTTGGCTTCATTTCCACCGTGCCCCCACCGACGGCCCCCACCGTGCCCCCACGAACAAAGTTTGACACTTTGGACGACAGCGAAGCAACGACAGTCCAATGGAGGCGGTCTGTGAATCCACCATCGATGAAGTCATCGTAGATATTGAACACACCGCCCCGCAGCCCGATTCCTCACGGGGACAGCGGCAACCCCTCACGAAGCTCGGCGACGAGAGCACGGGCGCAACTGCTGCTGTGGAGACCTGTTCAGAGAGGGGGGCCGGGGACAATGAGGTCGGAGAAGAAGATGGAAAACCATTGCGGAGCGAGGAGCGCGAGTTGTCGGCCATGGTGGCTGAGTTTCGACTCTGTGCGGGACCTGCAGCCTCCTTTCAGGAGTTTGAGACTCACTTCCGCTATGAAAGGGACGTTTTTGTTGGTGCTGTGTTCACCCTGGAGCCCTTTCGGAAGACAGTGAGGCGGACGGCAAAGGTACTCGTCTTTCAAGTGGCCGCTGCGGCAACTATCGCGTTTCTCTGGGCTTTGGTTTGGGTCGGGTATTTCTGGGCATGTAAAGGACCGTGGATTGTGCTTGATGTATCTCGCCGCATTGTTGTTGCCCTATGCATCATCGCTACGATGCTGTTTGCGGCTGAAGGCAGCTTTCGTGAGGCCCTCTATCGCTTGAAGACAACATGGCCTTTCTTCGCTCTTCTATTCATCCTACACGTCGGTGCGGGGGCGGTGTTCTTCAACGTGGAGGCCTTGCGACCTTACCGGATCATAATCGCAGGTTGTTTCTATGAGTACGTAGGGATTGTCCTGCCAGTGATGTAAGAAAGGGAAGAAATGAAGGACACTTTCAAATGGCAGCTCACACTCTCTTGTGTGCTCCCTGCAGCGTCTTCCGCCAAGTGGCTCTGACATCGAGGACAGTTGTAAGAAAACGTCTTTATGTCATCCAGATGGGGCTCGTATTTTTCCTGCTAGTGACCTTTTCATTTTCGGCGCGATCCTTCTTCTTCCCTCTTGTTCGAGACATAGCGAGAGGTCGCGGAATTATTAAGAAAAATTGTGATCATGACCTGGTTGCTCACCATTTCCCCTCTTCTTGCACTCCGTAAGGTAGCATAGTCTCATCGTAGCCTCATCCTATGCCTTCGATTTGTTCGTCTTGTAGTGATGGCGCTGGTCCGCTCATTGCGCGACGGTCCTGCGCTGCAATCAGGGGTCCTGATCTCGTTTCTGGCGGTAGCTTTCGTTTTCTACCCAAGGATGATGCAGGCCAAGATGGAGCATGTGTCCTCTCAGCTAAAAGATGCATGCAAACCGCACGCTTCGGTCACTTTTTTCTGATCTCGGTGTCCATGAGTTCTCTCAGATTTTGACTTCGCTTATTCTGGCGTCATTCGACTTGTTGACCGACTTGGCTGTCCCATATGGTTAGTACAAGTATGCACATATGAGACGTATACGCGACCATTGGCGGATTCATACTTTTTGTCCATGTTTGTCTATCTCTACCTGCAGTAATGGTTATTAGCGGTGCGGCAAAGAGAGCATTGGTGCGGTGTCTGTCCTCATGCAAAGCATGCAGAGAGATTCAGCATCAGCACTCAAACGAGACGCCCAATACCGTTACTGGCGAAGGCCCCCACAACACAGAAAGACCGAACGTCACCAAGCAGCCGTCGGCCAAACCGCTCAGCCGACTGTCCACTACTGTAATGAGCTACACAGGGAGTCGCACAGGTGCCAGCACTCTCTTCAGCCGCCAATTGCTGAGGTCCTTGAGCTCGTTTCTCGATGTCCCCACACGAGTTGTCCAGTTCAAGCTTCACCTAATATTCCTCAGGAGGCTCAGCGACGTAAGGGAGGAGCAAGTGAATTGTCTTCATACCTTCAAATCCCACGTCTCCCCCCTGTTCTGACTGATTTCCGCCGATGGACAATGAATGCAGCAGGTGCACGCTTACGGGTTGGTGGAACTTACGGTGCTTATTCTCACAAACCTATGCATCATCACTCTCGACCAAGTGCTGTCTCCATCGGTTCCGCAGCTGCTTGGACGAGTGGCCGGTCTGCTGATCATGGTGTTTATCGAGGTGGTCTTCGAGGGCGTGCAGTTTATCTGGCTGGTCCGGCCCGTCAATTTGCCTCTCATTAGAAGCATGGCGGAGCCCGGTGTTATCAGAATGCACTTGGTCGGACTGGCAACCGCCGGCGGCATATGCATGTTACGTGGAGGGCCATACTTTGTGCTTTTTTTCTTGAGTGCTGTGGGCGAAAGCAGATACGAACGAATTGGGGCGACACAAGACTTCTGCCCCAACCACTGGACCGTACTAGATATAGGAGACCCCCTGTAGGTGAGTGACATAAAGTTTCTGGTATGTTAGCGTGCTATCGGTAAGTTAGGCGATTCTCGAGATGTGCAATTTCTCAAGTGAGTGGCTGGAATGATTTTGTGTGCATGATGAGGTGAGGAAGGGACATTCGTCACCAACCAACAATAACGCTACATGAATGAGGAAGTGAAAGAGGACCCACAGAAAACCCCTCCAACAAAAAGCCGCAACACATGCATGCGTTTTGGTGCATCTATTTGTTGTGAGCCCGCCAGGGCGTTTGTCTGCGTTTGTCTAGCGGCCTATTGGTCTGGTTCCTGAATCTCTGTGTTCACTTGACCGCTTCGTTGACAGACATGCCCTCTTTGCGCCGGTTCACAAAGTCCATAGCCTCGCCACAAGTCGCCAATAGTCTCCTGCACACACACGCGCGCGCGCGCGCACGCGTGTCACAAATACGAATAGAGACACACAAATGTTTGCCGTCTGTCTTCATCTCACTTGTTTACGGCCCTGATGGTCTCTGAGACGTCCTGTGCGCCGATGGCGCCACGACTGTGCAGGTGATCAAACGCACGACGCTGCACACCATACACAACACGACAACCACACAACACATGTATTCTCTCCACATGTCTCCCTCTCTCACCGTCTGTGTCCTGGCGGTCTGTTCCTCCTGGTGCGCCCGCAGCCTTGCAGACATCGGGGAGCCGCTCGGCGACCGGCGCTTTTTGCGCCGCCTTCCACTGTGCTGCGCCTGGCTGTTGCTGCAGTGGCAGGCCTGCCGTCGTCACTCGACAGCTCGGCCAGCGGCTTTTCCCCTGGCAAGTAACCCCCCCTCATCCTCTCCCGAGTGATATGCATGTCCGCACGCACATAGGCACGCAGCTCTTGCTGAAGTGATGGAACACAGACAGAGGTATGGGAGGAGACGTACGTGGGCGGCTGGTTAGGGCTGATTTTCTTACTTCATATGGCTGGTTCTTGATGGCCACGCGGCTTCGAGTGCCCTTCGGCCCCAGGATTCTCTCCAGCTCCCGCATACTGTACGAGCGTCTCGGTGGTGTCAGCTCAGAGACGTCAGCGAGCCGCTGGTGCAGGTGCTCCACCATGTCGTTCAAACTGCTGCCAGGGCGGCTGGTGGTCTCTTTGGAAGTGGCTGCCTCCTCCAGACCTTCGAGGAGTCCGTGCTTCGGCCGACCTCGCTCATCGAAGAACTCCAGTGACGATGCCGACCGCAAAATGGGTGGCGCCGGCTTTTCCTCCTGCTGCTGCTGCCAGGTCACAACACGCGCTGATGGTGTGGTTACTGCAGCGGGTGCATCTGGAGATTCCAGCTCTGGTGGCTTCTCTTCCTCTTCTATTGTCTCGCGGACAGTGGGGGTTGTCTGTGGCCGTGCTGCAGGGGGTGGTTTGCTGAGTGGGGGCACCACTGTGATGATCTGGCGCGTCCATGGCCGGGAGAAGACCAGGCCTGTTGGCGGCCGTGTGCTGCATTCATGGAAAGCGGAAGGGAGGGAATTGGGAGGGAAGACACGGATTTACAAGATCGGTATAAGATTTTTAAATATTTGAGTAGATTATTTCACTTTTTCATCTTCTCTTTTCTTCTCCAGTCAGAGCTCTCTCCAGTTACGGCGTGTCTCTCTGCATGTCTCAACATTCATCGATTGTCATGAATGCGATAGACACCGGTGCACCTTTCTCTTCTCGTTGATTTTCTTCTCTTCGGCATGATGAGTCTCGCCATCATATGGTGCCTCTCTCGATGTCTCCGAGGCCTGCGGGTCCTTTATTGTAGCGATGCTGTTAGCGTCGACCTCCAGCTGCTGCACATGCTCAAGCTGGATAGACCTCCGAGCATGAAGTCTCCCAGACAAGGGTCTGACCCCCTTGTCTCGGCCCACGGGCGAGTACGGCCCTGTGCTGTGACTGCCCCTCTGAGGCGCCTCCCCCGTTGCGTCGGTGTCGATGGCTCTAGGCCGCCTGCCTGTTGCCCCACTGCTGGGTCTCAGTGTCATGTAGCCGGTTGGAAAAGAGTGGAGGCGGCGGTGCTGCACCTGAAGAGACGCGCCAGCTGATGGCCGATCCTTGTCTCGACCTCTCACTGTTGCCTTCATGGGAGCACTGTGGGGTCTCATCTCGCTCAGCTGATGAGAAGAGATGCAAAGAGCAACAGCAAAAGAAGCGCATATATGCATAGACAGGGTAAGAGCAACGCCCTCTTGTTCTCAACTGGGCACCTTGTTTGCTATTGCGCCGCGAAAAAGCTCGCCGCGCTGTGGGTTGCCAGGGCTTGAGGCTCGCGTTGGTGACCTCTTCCGCTGGAGGGACGCAGCCGCTTGGGTCGCAGAAATGGTCGGGACAAGGCGAGGAGACAGCATGCGCGAATGGCGGCCATGTGGCGTCACCAGGTGGTGCCGATGCTTGCCATGCAGTGGCCGCATCTTGTGATTGGAGGTGATGTACCATGTGCCATCGGTCTGCAGAAATGAATTGACATATGCAGTGCTCCTGTCATAGCTGACCGACATCGGACCTTGTCGATGATGGTGACGCCATTGATGTCCTCGGTCCAGTCCCAGTCTGGATCCCACCCAACTTCCTCGATCCCCAACTCTTCCTCGTCGATCATCGCTTCTTCATCGAAGGGCTCCTCGTCGACCTCGCCATCACTCATCGCCTCCTCGTCGACACACACACCACCTGACAACTCGCCGCCCTGCTCTAAAATGACGCCACTCTGACAGACATCATTGTCGAATTGGCGAATGGCTGGCTCGTCTTCCTCTTCGCTGTCGTCACTGGCACTCTCCTCGTACTCATCCAAAGGGTGTGACGGGAACATCTCCTCCAGTGTGAGTGGGGTTTGTGCATGGCTCTCCACACATGGCACCAAGGCCTCCAACAGGAGGGAGGGAACACCACAGGGGCCCAATCCAGCATCACGAGACACAGATGGCGCATTTTGCCGATGAATGGCATCGTCGTTGCTTTTTTTCGAAAGTCCTTCTAGCAGCGCCGCAAGAGGCGAGGCGATAAAGCTGTCATCTGGCTTGGACATAGAGATGCTGCAAATCTGGTCATGGACCCCTGAGAGCAGCTCCTCTGACCGTTCGTCGGCGGCATGCAGCAAAGCCATCCGCATTTTCAAATCTCCGATCTCCTGCAGGAGGGCAGACACCTTTACAGCCATGTGCGCGATAGCTGGGTGTGAGTCTGCCCGCAGCCTGATCACGGCATGACTGATGCAGTTGCTCATCGGCATGGCGGAAGTCGGCTTCGCTGGATCGATCGATGTCACCCAGCGCTCGACGAGAGACAGGCCAGCAATACGGGTGAGTAAGCAGACCGAGTTCATCATCGCAGCCGCCCTTCTCGCCAGTGAGATGCCGATTTCACCCGAGAGGTAGAGAGCGCGGAAAAATGCCACCTCGACACAGAGAGCGAGGGCACGTGTCTCTGCCATTGGATGAGAGGATAGCTGCTGCAGTGACGCTCTCAAGACGTCACGAGTGGCAGTGTCCCTCTTGGGCTGTTGTGAGGACTCGATGTTCTTCTCCATGATACTTTCCATGAGGTCCTCCTCAGCGCTGCCCGGCAGCTGCACCGCTCTCCACAAAGCCCTGAGGCACGACGTGATAGTCCGCTTGTCCCCCTGATGCTCAATCGCACCGACGGAAAACTCCAAAGAAAGACACAAGATTGCTTCAGACGCTGGCGAGCCCACGGCCGGCTGCCAGCCCTCCTTCTGCAGGCAGTCAAGCATGGAATGGACGACTTGGCAGCAGGTCTCCATTTGCTTCCTGTCCTTCGCCTTCATTGCTTCCGCCAGTTGAGTCCCAAGCTGCTCGGACAGCGCTCCGTCGGCAAACAGCTCCGTGAGATGAGCCGGCCGTAGACGGTGAGACGTGAGGATCAGGTTCATGACACCAGACGTGACGATGTTGGGGTCTCCTATTGCTTGTTTCCTAGGCGTGAAGCATTTCATCAAGCGCTTCAGCATCTCGCTGGATGCCCATTCATTATCGCCTTTCGCTGCATCTGGCGCTGGAACTGAGATCCCGTCTTTTTTGTTTTCTACTTCTGGAGGGCCTCCGATGGCGAAATCAATCAGAAGGCGAAGGGGCTCGGCGTCCGTGCTGGTGATTGTCGTCGAGAGTGCTGAGGTGAGAGCCTCAAAGAGCTTGCATTCGCTTGACGTGAGTGACGCCTCCAATCGTCGAACAATCACCCAGACAACCTGACAAATGGCGGCACATCATTTCTGCGCAGCGGCCGACAGTGGTTTTCCTGCTTTTTGTCACCTCAGAAAGCTCCGCGTTTTGCGCTAAGGGGATCCACGCGATAAGGGCATTGACAAAGTCGTCGGCAGGATCACCCGTTACTGACGAGAGGACCGTGCCGATGAAGGACAAGGCCCCTCTTGGCGGTGATGAGCCAGACCGACAGCAATTGACAAATCTCCGCAAGAATGCGCCGCTATAGTCAACATAGGCTGGCCTGCACGCCACATGAAAGAATTCAAAACGAATGCATGAAGACACGACATGCTTCTGTGTACCTCCCTTTCTCCGGCAGGACCCCCAGAATCTCGACAAACGACGACCATAAGAGCTTTGAGGGCGAAGACTGTTCCGCAGCTGAGCTGTCGCAGTCCGCAGCAGTGCCATACTCGAGAGACCGAAATAGGCTCCACAGCGATCGATAAGTTGAGTCCGTCAGCATCAGCGCATCAAGCGGCGTGATCGTTGCGGGCCGCGCATGCGTGAGGGCCTTAACAATCTCGGACACGATTGCTGCAAGATGGGTGAGCTTCTCGTTGTCGTCGGATCGGGACAGCTGGCAGAGCCTGGTTGATGGTCACACACAGCACAGGCGGACATGTGTGCATGTGTGGGACACTCATGTCGGGCTGTCGTCGTACCTGTGACTCAGCCAGCGCATGAAGTGACGGAGCCGACCGTCCCGCCTTGACCAGTTGACACACAGAAGGAAAAGATATGAAAGGAGCGAAGTCAACCTTTGTAGGTGTGTGTACGCGCTTATTTGGAGACAAGCGTGTTTGCGAAATACACAAAAGAAGGAAGCCGCGGCATCACAGAATCCGCTGTCACTCGTGCCCTGCAAGCCAAAGACCAGCCTGTCAGAGTGCGCTTCAGCAGATGAGACACATTCACTCTTACCTCCAGCATGAAGTCGAGGAAGGGGATATGAAACTCCTTGTTGTACGGGATATCGTCTTCTTTGTCGATGAAGCTGTTGGGAGCTTCCCGACAAAGGATCATCACGTTCGCCAACAGACGGGCGCAAGCCCCTTTCAGCGGACCATCGACGTCGTCGCTACATATCAGCTCCGTGAGTCTGCGGGCCGTCTCAATCTGGAGCTCGGTACACACAAGTGGCAAGGCCTGAGCAGAGTCTCAAAAAATGGCAAGACAGCGATAATCGCCTTCACCATTGGCACTGACTTGATGGCAGGCGGCGAAGAAGAAGTTGAGCGCCCGATTGACTCGAGTCCCTCTCCGGGCATAGCCTGCATGGCCATCTTCTTTTGTCGCACTCGCGATCTGTCTCACCACATCAAACGCGCCGCCCATCTGCATGGCCACGGTATCCAAGGATAAGAGTGTGATAGGCCAAGTGTGTGTGAGATTGCTATGTGACGCACCAAGGTTGGGTCTGAGCATCTGATTGCCGACGACAGGCAGCTGATCCACCAGGCATACAAAAGGAGAGAGAGGATCTGGTGGCATCCATCTTTGTTTGTTCGTCTTACTTGAGCGCAGCCTGGTGGATGCACACCATGCAGACATTTGGGGTGAGACCTCTACTTGTCAGTAGCCGCAGAAGGGTATTCGGTAAGGCGTCCAGCTGGCTCATGGCCTGTCCACGCAGCCATGGTCAGCCATGAACAGTGACATTGAATAAGTTTTGGTCTACGAGCCCACCTCTTTGTTTGTTTGACCGATGGCCACAATCCGTGTCAGACTTTCCTCACAGACAGTGTCATCCTGCTGGCCTTGAGAGCACCGATGGCCGCCCATCAATGTCTGTTGACAGAGACAGGAACAGCGACATTTAAGGAACGAGTACTAGTCGCTTGCGTCTCTCGGCTTACTGCCAGAGCGACCGCATACATCCTGCCTTCTCCAGCGCCTGGCTCTTCGAGACGCGCACTGAGAGCAGCAAATGCGCTTTCCCACTCCTCGCAGGCCTGCACAGGACAAACAATCACGCAACTGTCACTCGGCAGTGGCGATAGAAAGGTTGTGACCTCGTCGGTGTCTGCGGCCCTGCCGCAAGCGCACACGGCAAACATCCTGACCGCACCTTTTCTCATGACTTCAAGCGCATGCCGGGCCAGGTTTCGCGTGTACCCTAGCGGCACGTCTTTCCATGAGCCGATCCCCAGCGCGTGAACCCCCAGCGACGATTCAGCGACGATTCAGCAGTGTAGATGATTTTCGAGATCTGGCTGTTTCTCTCCCTGGTCGTGGCAATGGAGCATCTATCACAAGCCCTGTCTGTGTCGTCAGCTTATGCCTACGCCTTCATTCCGTCCCGTGCTTTGCAGCGTCAACGCTCCCCTTCGTCGCACGTGCCAATCATGAGGCGCCGGCATCGCTCTGGGACGGCGTTGGCCATGGATGCATCTGACGGGGAGGCTAGATCCGATGATGATGACAGCGAGAGGAAGGCCGGTAGCGACGCGGAAAGCATCGCAGCCCAGAATGCCAGGCTGCGGGCGCTCGAAGTGCGGCTCCGGGCGCTCGAGGCCAGTAACATCGAAGCCCTTGAGCTGTAAGCAGCAGACCAGCCACGAGCTCGGCAGAGGGAGCGCGTCTCTAAATGTGTGTTACTGGTATTTGTGTCAGTATCGAGCGGTTGAACAGCCGTCTGGAGGCTGTCGAAGAAGAGATGTCGGAAGAGGACGATGGTGAGCCCCTTTCGCCTCTGGTTCCACTCAGCTTGCACACCTATCTACCTGTCACTCAACACCAAATTGCCTGTGTGGCTTCAGAAGACGAAGAGGACGACGACGAAGATGAGGACGAATGGGACGATTCGAGGGCCGACATGTTGGAAAGAATCAAAAGGGCAGCTGACCTTATTCTACCCCACGTCAAGGCCACACACAGGTACAAACGTACATGCGGCCATGTGTACCTGGATGCACAGCCCTCGACTCTGGGTGGTCTCTGCTTGTTCGTGTGATGTGTAGATTCCGTGAACGGTCCAGGTCGATGGACGAGGAAGACGACACCGACGGCCCGGAGCGGCTCCATCCCAACCGTGTCGCGGCTGAGGGCGTTGGTGTCAACGGCACAAGTGCCACTATTATGCTGCCCGAGGACATCGGTGATGCGGGAGACGACGCAGGCGCGAGCGTGCTTGAGGCATTGTTGCATGGTGCCTCAAGGTAAGCCATGCAGACCACAGCACAGCCACGCTCATGTGGTTAACCACGGGTGGTTTTTCTCTTAGGATGCGCGTGGACCTAAGAGAGCCATTGATAGGGCCCAACAGCAATGGAGTGAGCATGGAAGTCTTGAGCCAATTCGTTGAGCTCGCAGTCCTTCCGACAGCAGCTGCCGTGGAGAACATCGATCAGCACAAAAGCCAACGTGTCAAGCTGGTGAGGCGGTCAGCTTACATCCACCATCCGACACAAGAGGAGGGACGTACGCACGTGACTGCACTGTTCATTGCTCAGGTGTTCAACTCATTCTCACAGCTTTCCGTGGCCAAAAAGTCGATGGGGCTCGACAGAGAACAGGCAGTCGCGATGGATACACTCAGGTGACTGACACACAGCGTCCCTCCCTCACCGCTGCTCATGTGTCGAGTGTATGCATATTTTGGTGTCATGTGCAGGTCCGGGAAGGTGGAGCCAAGTGACCGTGTGATTGTGCTGGTGGCACCGGAGGCGGACGGCGACACTCAGAGCGAGGTGCACCGATGGACCCAGCAAGCGGAGAACCGCACCATCATCGTCTTCAACCCAGCCATGGCCACACAAGCCGATACATTCAAGGAGTAAGTCAGCATAAACAGCAGGGTACATCTCTTCTCTCTTCCTTGCATGCATCCCAACCACAGTTACGTGTCGGTGTATGACATGGAGTTGCTCCGAGTGTACTATGTGGGCAAGGATGACATTGGCGACTACATCGCCAGCAGGAGATCCCGCGGCTACGTAGAGGAAAGCACGCAATGGAGGATCATCAAAGACAACGTCAGTGAGCAAGGCGAAGATGAATCCTCCGATCACCTGCCCGTTACTCTTGTCCCGTGCGTATGTGTGTGGGTGCATGATGCACACGTTAATTGAAGGGCGTGGTGATTGTGGAGGAGGAAGATCTCTCAGGTAGCCACTCAGACGACGAGGCCATCACAGCGATGCTTCTCAGGTCGGTGCGCAGGAGGAACAACACAACGTGCTCAGCAAGAAACTTATGCATACGTGTGTGTTCATTCAGGGAGTACCCAGGCAAGTTCAATTTGTGGGTGCAGTACGACGACCTGTATGTCACACACTACAAGCTTGTCGCCTCATTTGATGAGCGGCCGGCCGTGAGCAAGGTGCTCTCGCTCATTCGGACGGCCGTTGAGGACATCATCGCTGGCTCGCCCGACGACACTGGCGAGACAGAGCGGTCAATTATAGACGGCCATCGTCAAGAAGACACAGACCAGTAAGTGAAGGACAGCACCTACCGCAACCCTGCACACACAAAGGCAGGATACCAGGCAGTCAAAACTGCAGTGTGTTGGAAGACATTTTGTGTCGGCTTTGGCGTGTCCCCACATCATCTTCTCGCCCTGCCTCTTTGTCGCTCGCAGAGACGATCAGCCCGCGGTTCAGATAACGATCCAAGCATCCCAGCCGGACACAAGTGGCAACAATCAGGTCCTGATCGACGACCAACTAGGCCAAAGTCTCAGTCAGCTCATCCGTGCGGCCCTGCGTGGCGAGACAATTGCTGGTGATGACAAATACAGCAAACGGCAGCTCAACAGACTGACCGGGCAGCCCTCTAGCACCACGAGCAAGCCCTCTCCACCCTTTGCGAGCGAGAGCGAAGTGCAGCAGTACTTGGACGAAACCGCCCCACCTGGCTTTGCGTGTCTATGTGTGGGCTCCGATGACGAAGGGTTTTTTATCGTGGAGATGGACGATGCGCTTGTATCGGGGGCGAGTGATGTTAGTGAGCAGCCGAAGTCAGAGAGCCGTGCAGACAGCAAGCAGGGCAAGCAAGCGCTTATGCGCAGGCATGTAGTTGGTTTCGAAGATGAGGCTGACGGCTTGGGAGCTGAGGACAAAGGGCAGGGGCGGGATCAAGCCAGACACCACCAGCAAAGGCCGCCAGGACAGCAGCAAAGCGGTAGTGATGATCCTGACAACTGAAGACTGTTGAGCACATAAATCCTTCTGGACTCTTCGCTGCATTAAGAAATAAACATAGGGGTGGACAAAAAACTACTCGGTCTTCCAAGGCTCACAAAATGAATTAGTCAGATGGAAGATGACTCTCTGGCTAGTGAATCACTCTCAAGGCAGCAGAGAGACGTTGCATTCCTGTTAACGCCGACACCTGGCCGACACCATATACATGTTGCCTGTCCGTGTTTATGCGTGTGGGTACTTGGCTTCGCCGTCTCCATGGGCCCCTTTATGGCCAGCTAAACAGATCGGTTCTTGGCAGGAGGCCGTGTGTTTTACGGACCTTCGACGAAACCATGCAACATCTGGCCCATTGGTGAGGCTGCGTGTATAGAGTATAGACGTTTGTTGGGGGCAGTAGGAAAACGAACTTGTACATGCACACGGACACAAACACAGGGACGGAGCTTTGTATTTCGTGAACGAAATCCCTTATCTTGACGACCTACACTCACTTCAAACACCCATCCCTGGTGCACCAGCAGGCTCAAACAATTCTGAAACACATCGACTGGATGTGAATGTGGACCTGCTCACCGGGACTTCCGCACGTTATTCCTACGTCTGGACGTGCAAAGACTCGTGTCCTCTATCGCGTTTCAATTTGTTGTGTCTTTCGCAAAACTCAGACCCACATCCTCAGGAACTAGACACCAAGAGGCAAAAGAAAATGGAGCGGGGAAGAGAAAATGTTGCAGTGTGCATCTGCACAGCTGTCTGTGTATCTCTCTGTCTGGGTACCTCTCTATCTGTCCACCCCTTTATCCTTTGACGCTTCTTCTCCCCCGTCCACCATCGTCACCGTGATGTCATCACTGCGCTCAGCTTCAGTCAATTTGGCTGGCATCGCAAACCTGGCCATCCCAACGGCGCATGCGGCAGCGCAAGAACGTGAGGTACTCGAAACTGCTCTGGACAGGAACCCTATGTCACGCCCCTCAGTATTTTCTCTCCTCGGCGCCCTCCTTCTTTCGTTGTGGTTGGCGGCAGCTGCCCCCGGGGAGCCGGGTGAGAAGCAGCTGGAGGTCAGCAAGGCAGACCTAGAGGAGCTCCTGACGGGCATCAAGGAGTTCCTGACGGGCATCAAGGAGCCAGCAAACCCCTACGTGACGGGTGACGATGGAGACGTCTAGCTTAACGCAGCTCTCAGCACTGCCATCAAGAACGTACGTAGGTGGTCCACATCCATAACCGAAACACATTTCTCATTGTCTGCTTCAGGTCGGTGAGTCTAACGATCATTTAGATCTGTTGAATGCTACCTTCCCTTTGGCCTCCTCTGATTTCCCCGACTGCGAAGCTTCCTACCCTGCCAAAGAAGACGCCGAGGGCACCTTTGAGAAGGTAGGGAGGAGACCGCACAGAACGACTCAATGCGAGGGCTCCGCGTCTTGCAGGTGCTGGACGAAGGCATTCTCGAGATTGGCCTGTCAATCATTAGCGATCCCACCGAGCCGGGGAGTGTAGGTGCTTACTATGTTGCTCAATGAGCTGATTCTCCCCGAGCTTTCAAGGGTACATGCAGCATACGACGCTTTAAGTATATCGTCCAAGTTACCTCATTCATCTCTGGTGGTCCTCGCTTGTTTTGCCGTCAGGAGTATGGCGTAGACATCAAGGCCAACTACACGATCATTGACAACACAGAAGATTTCTTCCTCCAGTTTAGAGAGGCTTTGAATGACGAGGTTGTTGATGCCATTACCTTCTTCTCTGTACGTCAGTCAGAGAAGCACATGATCGTCGACCTATTCTCGTCGACTTATTCTCTCTCATCAGGTCACTGAGGAACGTTCGCAGTCGGTAGACTATACGAGCTGCGCCATCGTCAAGTATACACGGACGCTCACTGAATGAGTCGGTCAGCTCACTGAAAGAGTCGGTCCGTGTATGTGTGTGCAGCTTCGTTAACGAGGTCGGTGTGTGCGTAGAGGAAGACTCTGAGTTGGTGACAGTTGACCTGACGGAGGACCCCTCTTCTCTAGACGGGTGGGTGGGGAGAGTGAGGGCGCAATGTAATGCTTGGCTGGATTGTGTCGTTGTGGCTGCAGCAAGAGTATTGGCGTGTGCCCTGGGTGTTTTTTCATCGACGACTTCGTCGCGGTCACGCAGGAGCTGGTAACAATCGCCCATCAGACAGACAGCCCTTCTTGTCTCCCCTTTACCCGCTCCCCTTTACCAGGGACTCGACATTACACTGGTCGAGATTCCCATCTCTGAACTCGTCGACGAGTTGCGGGATGGCCCCGTGGACGCAGTGGCAACAATCCTGGTAGGTGGGCGAGTCGGTCGACGAAGATTACATAGATACAGCGCTCTTTGCATTCATTTGTCTACGCTGCTTATGTGATGCTTTCGCTGTGTACAAATAAATCGGCAGACGAATGGCCCAGGGTTCAGTCTGTTTGAGGCGGCTGACGACGTTGTTAAGCTGGAGGGATCATTCGTCCTCGGCGATGACACAAGGGCGGCTGTGACACGATTCGCAGGGCCAGACAGCAGGCAGAATTATGGGGGGGCGATCCCTACATGAATGTGTCGCTTCGATGAAGAATGCTGCCTCTGCCTTCCTACCTTCGTACGTACCTGTGTATGAAATTTGTGTGTGTGTGTGTGCCTCTCCTTCCTGTCATGAGCTACTAGGGATTAAGGAGCGTGAATACGAGGCTGTCTATAATTGGTACCTATCTATTTTGCCCAGATGGAATGCTTTCGTAAGCCAATGGATGTGGGTGTTTTTATGTACTGAGTATGAATTTTCCACGAGCCTGTGAGCCTAGAGAGCCTGTTTTTCGCACATTCTTAGCCACGCACCAGACACGACCAAACACATGACGTGGTCTGAGCTGGTCTGCGTACGTATGCATACATTTGGTATTTGTACCCCCTGCGCGTCTCTCCCGCTCTCTCTCACTTTCTCACATGAGGCATTAAATAATGCCGTGAACATGTTATCCTGACCTACGTGCCAGTCTCATGGTCTAAGGGCTTCTTCGATCTCTTTCATTCGGTGAAATTCGTACACGTTCACGCATTTCATGGACAAATGGTTGTACAGGCTTTCATGTGGACCGTTCACACACATGGATGGACAGGCAGACACGTCAATCCACACGTGGTTGTCTGTTGCAGTTTTGACGGAAGGACCTAGTCCATTCATGCAGCCAGCGACTTATCCCATGCCTTTGCTTGGACTCAGTCGCGAATGAATGAGTCTGCTACTGTGTTTCCCTCCCTTGCGATGTGTGCGTGATCGTGAGTGCTGGCCGTGAAGCTGAAGGCTGTACCATCACGTAATAATACAGGGGCGCGGAAGTCAATGCCAAACACCAACAATTCTACTTGTCGATCGGTGTCTCTTCTTCTTTCCCCCCCATGGAGTCTCTGTCAATCCTGCATATGGTGATGCGAGGCACATGGAGGTGCGGCACCAGTGATATGCATTACTGTCCCATCGGAAAGGATGTGTCGCATACTGCTCCACTGTCCGCTCACTTGAAACTGTATGAAACGCGCACAAAGCGCACAAGACGTGCAGAGAAGGGCGCCTTTGCGTCCTTTTTGCGTCGCTGCCTCCCTTAACATTATGTAGACACACGCCACACATCGTCACATGACCGCTGACCGACACACACTCAGCCAGGCAGCCAACCATACGGAGACACACACACGCGCACTCCAAACAGCATGCCATCACACAACAGCATTACGTCTGCCACACATTGGTATGTGCAATGCAGCCCGGCTCGCCCACGACATAGGGCGTCCATATTCGGTGACGTGCACATTGAGAAAAACGACACACAGCAAACTCTCTAGCATCGGCTAGTGTGTGAGCGTGAGGCCTGGCTGGGTGGCTGGCTGGCTATACGTGTCGGTGACTGAGGGGGGTGGTGCCATTCATGCAGATGGACGGACTGCTTGACATAGGCCGTGTGTCGATCAACCACTCACTCCACACGGAGAGTTTGCAATGCATGTAAGCGGTGGGACGTTCTGTCTGCGAAAACTTGACCTACCTGCACATGTCAACAAGCAGCTGGCTGGTTGGCTGACTGGTGCATGGCTTGACCGAATGAATGGCACTCACAGACAGGCAGACAGACAGACAGACAGCCAGGCAGCTAGTGACCTGATCGTACAGACGTTCCTCAGCTTTCGATGCTTTGTGTCTCAACAAGCCCAGCACACGCATTCATCCACGAGCCATGCAGCTTCAGTATCCCACCCCATGCATGTCAGCCACGCATGAGAGCATCCCTCCATTGTGGCACCCCTCCCCCCCCCTCCCTCCCTGCCTCTCACATCGTTCTAGACATCAGCTAATTGATGCGCTGACCTGACGGACAGCAATGCACCCCAACACACACCACCGGCAGTCGAGAAGCGCGCGCATGCAAGGTAGCCAAACCGTACCTATCTCTCGGTGCCGTACACAATCCGTTCTGAGACGTCGTGTCTGTCCAACACTGGCCCGCCATAGGTTTGCCGATATGATCGATAGCAGGACATTCAAGAAAATAAATCAATGGGACACACGGCACATGGATCCATCCATCCAGCCAGCCAGGCAGCCGCGCGAACACGGGTATAAAGAGAGGGTGCGGCAGCTGCATGGTGCCTTCCCCCACACACACCCCAAAACGGCACTCGCAACGATCCATCCCAGGAGGCAGCCCACACACGCAGGCATACAGAGAGGCACGCAGAGAGGCAGCGAGTCAGTCCATTCACCCACCCACCAAAAACGGTACACGCATCCAGCTCATGCAGCCATAACACAACACTAGAGAGTCACTTTGCGAATTCCTATCTACGTACACTGTACCTTTGCGGTTTACACCTACACCTTACTCTGTTGCTCGGCCACACGTCTCTTTGACGCGACCCACCTACACCATCCTCGCCATATAGCCTCCTTGTATGTATGGGCTGTTCTGCGACAGGCACACCCTTCCCTCCCCACTGCATGTCCCCACCAGTGAGTCAGAGAGACATCCACCCAACCGACTCATCCATCCAGCCAGCCGCATGGCAGCACATACACCGTCCTCCCACCCAGTCACTCAAAAACGGCACATCCATGCAGACAAGATAGTGTCATATTGCCTCCTGTCATCCCCACCCTCCCACCTTTCCCACTTCATCCATCCCGCCAGTCAGGATGACTGCCCCCCCCACACACACAGGCATACAGTGAGATAAAGAGAGGCTGCGAGTGCCCTTCCTCCCACCCACCCACTCCATCCATCCAGCCAGCCAGCCAGCCAGCCGCGCACAGACGCACACATCCAGCCATCCCGCCAGGCAGCTCACACACACACAGGCACACAGGCACGCACACAGGCACGCACACAGGCACGCAGAGAGATAGAGGCAGCGAGTCAGTCCATTCACCCACTCACCCACCCACCCACCCACCCACCCAAAAACGGCACACTCATCCAGCCAGGCCGGCAGCGTCGAGTGGTATGAGAATGAGCGCACCTTCCTCATCTTCCTCATCTTCCTCATCATCCGTCCAGCTGATGTCATACCGCCCCTCCAGCCCCTCGATTCTGTCGCCATCAGTCCGCTCCTCCACCAGCCGCTTGAAGGCCTCGTTGGGCCCCGGCTGCAAAATGAGCTCCTCGATGCCTTGGATCTTGAGCAGCGACTTGACGCAGGCAATGCCGAACTCGCCAGCGGCATCGCCATCACCCAAATCCTCAGGCACTGCACACACAAGTAGGCAGGAGGGAGAGCTGATTGAGGCGATTGCTTGCAGCTCACCCTCTACACGAACACGCAGCTCTTTGATGGTGGGCAGCTGATCCGCCATGTCCCCCCACGTCAGCCCGCCCTCACCCACACCCGTCAGGGTGGTTCTGACATCGAAATACTCCAGCTGCCCCTTCCCGCCCACCGCCTGCAGCACCCCCACTGCTTGCTCCTCTGTCGGGTCGAAGAGAAGAATGCTCTTGACTGCTGGCATCTTGGTCACCAGCCTGCGGCCAATGGCGTACCCCTTGCGGCTGTGGACGGTCAGCGCCCATGCGGCGGGGAATGCGTTGTGGGGCATGCTGTCCAGCACAAGTGGGTCGGGCTGTTCGGCGTCATCGTCAGGCTCCCAATCATCATCATCATCATCATCCTGGTCCACCACCTCCACCCTCGTCGCCTTGGGGAATGTCAGGGATGATGTGAGGACGATGGCAGCGGGGCTGGGCGTGTCGTGAGGGGCGGTGAGGTGGTTGGGAAGGGTGTCGAAGAACACTTCGAGGGCTTTGGCGGCCAGCTGCTGGATGTGCTTCTGCACGAAGAATGAGGGGGCGGGGCGGGTGGGGACCTCACACAGGATGTCGAGGTCGAAGCGCTCGTCGGCCTCGTCGATGTCAACGGGGATGTCAGGCCTCTCACAGACGGTGCGGGTGAAGGTCTCGATGGCCGAGAGGGTCTCGAAGATGCTGCTGTCGATGTCGGAGCCCTTGAACTTGATGCTGAGCTTCTTGATGGAGCGGCAGCCACGGTCGACAAGAACCCTCTGCACACAGACACGCACATCACAAGCAAGCCTTCCCCCACTCTGTCTGATCTAGTTTATCTTGTGTGGTTCGCTGCTCACCTGCAGGCCCTCCAGACCCCCGGCGCCAGCTCTCACGATGAGGGTTCCGATGTCCTCGAGCTGTGACAGCGGGCCCGGCCCGCCGGCCGCTGCCGTGGGGATGCGCCGCAGCGACCCAGCCAGCTTCGCGGCAGTGCATTCCACCTGCAGCTCCTTGAGGCGCCGTGACGTGGCCACCAGGTCCCCCAACACCTCACCGTAATCCACCATTTCTCGCACCTGGACTCTCTCAAGCGACGGCAGCTGCCAGTGGCGCCCGCGGCCGGGACAGGAGAGCCCATATCCGCTGGTGGTAATGCCCTTGCGCGATGTGAGGGTCAGGGGCGGGTTGAGGGGCGGGTTGAGGGGCGGGTTGACCGTCGCCAGCTGTCCAGCTCCTATGTCGCGACCCTCGTCCTCGTCGACGACTATGGCCGATTGGCCCTCGCTTATGTCGATGGACTCCAAGGTGGTTGGCGCCTGCTGCCCGGCTGCTGTGGCCGCTGCGGCTCTCCGCCCCTCGCTGTGGCCCTCCACCAATGCCGTGAAGATCTTCTTGTTCACCGGCGACAGAGAGTGGCGGTCATCATCGTGTCGCCCCCGCCGATGAGGGATGCGGTGGCCAGGAGTTTCACTGGGGATGCGGAGGGCATAGGGATACTTGACGACAATTGAGTTGAGCGGTGTGAGCCGCCGGCCCCACTCGAAGGCTTCGGCGAATGACAGGCCGCACCAGAAGCGCCGCTCGGCCGTGTCGTAGGTGTCCATGACCAGCCGGGTGATCTGGGAGCCGACGTGGCGCCACAGCCGCTGGGGCAGCGCCGCCACCAAATGAAGTGACACGAACGAAAAGACGTAGGCGACGACAACCGGCTGAGTGTCAACACACACCACACAGACACAGAGAGAGGAAACGATGAGGATGTGTGTGTTTGCCAGTGGTCTTGGTGGCTGCATCTTACGATTTGGCCGAAGCGAAGAGCGAAGGCCTCCAAATCTATGCTGTGAGTGGTGTGCGATGCCGTGGCCTGCTGCTGCTGCTGCTGCTGGCCGTCGGAGTCCATTACGGCCTCCTGGTGTCCGTCATCCGAGTCATCCTCTCCCTCAGCCCGCCTCAGAGTCTGTCGCTTCGATGCCGACTCAGTCATCGCTCACTTGTTCACCAAACAGACGTCGTCTGCCGATTGGATGGCTCAAAGGAGCTCTTTTTATTTTGAATGGCGTTACGCGAGGGTTTCAAGCGGCACCCACCTCGTGAGGTGGCCGCGCGCCAACACACCCACGGGCGGCCGACCTGACAGACAGAGAAGAGAGAAGAGGACGCCCAGTATGCATCGCATGTATAAATGCTCATGCAAAAAGCGCTGTGGCTTCGACACGACAACGCGATTGATTTCACCCATATGCGTCCATGCAGGCGGGCATCTCCCCTCCCTCCCTCCTTGTCCCTCCCTGTCCCTCTCGTCACACACCAGCCAACACTCAAGAATGCAACGCCATCACCCAGCAGTGAGGAAGTGTATATTACGCAGCCAACTAACGATAGTGGAATGAGTGAATGGATGGATGCATGGAGAGAACACACACAAACGTGACCGACGCACATGTATACAAACCGTGACCACCCTCAGCCCACAGCGCCTCTAGCCGCTGGCGGGCAGTGTCTCTCAAGCGAAAAGCAGCGACCGGTACATACTGCCAGCGGCCACAATGAAACGAAACGAATGAGCTACAAGTCAGCAGCCGGCCCGCCAGCTCCCACCTCCCCCTCCCTCACGCTGGCCGGTGCTCTGCTATCCAGGTGTCGCTTATGTCGTCGTCTCCTAGGCGTCAAGCCGTTCGAGATTGAGGAAATCCGAGTCTTCCCCCCAGCCCCACTCGATGCAATACCGCCCCTCAAGCCCATCGATTGGTGTCGCCATTAGTCCGCTCCTCCACCAGCCGCTTCAAACTATATCCTCCAGCTTGGTCCAGCCCGAAGTGAAGTCGGTTGATGCCTCGGATCTTGAGCAGCGACTTGACGCAGGCAATGCCGAACTCGCCGGCGGCATCGCTACCGCGTAAAGCCTCAGGCACTGCACACACACAGACAGATGGCAGCCGACATCAGAGTGGTCAGTCGGCAGGTATGGAGGCGATTAATTGTTGGTCACTTGGTCACCTTGTACGATAATCAACAGCGCTGAGATGGTCGGCAGCTTGTCCGCTATGTCCCCCCACCCAAGCCCCCCCTCACCCACACCCGTCAGGGTTCTGACATCGAAATACTCCAGCTGCCCCTCCCCGCCCACCGTCTGCAGCACACCCACCGTTTGCTCCTCTGTCGAGTTGTGTCTACAAAACAGCTGGATTCTCCTCACGACGGGCATCTTGGTCAGCAGCCTGCGCGCAATCACGTGCCCCTTGCAGGTATAAAGGAATAGTGACGACGCGGCGGGGAATGCGTTCTCGGGCATGCTGTCCAGCACAACTGGGTCGGGCTCCTCGGCATCAGCGTCAGGTCCCCAATCGTGCGGCCCCGTGATCACCACATTCCGCGAGAACGCTGGCAGCGGTGCTGGGTGTGTCCAGAGGGCTGGGCAGATGGCGGGGACGAAGGCTAAAGGACGCCCTGAGGGCTCTGGCGGCCAGCTGCTGGATGTGCTTCTGCACGAAGAATGAGGGGGCGGGGCGGGTGGGGACCTCACACAGAAGGCCAAGGTCGAAGTAGCAGCTGACGTTGATGTCGACGGGGATGTCAGGCCTCACACACACGGTGCGGGTGAAAGCCTCAATGGTCGACAGGGCGCGAAGAGGCTGCTGTCGATGTCGGAGTCCTCGAACTTGACGCAGAGCCTCTTGCTGGAGCGGCAGCCACGGTCGACAAGGACGGCGTGCACAGAGACAAAACTCACATGCAGCAAGCTCGCGCCCACTCTCTCTGATCTTGTGTGTCTTGTGTGACTCGTCGCACACCTGAAGGCGCTTTAAACTCTCAGCGCTGGCACTCAACACGCTGAGGGTCCCGATCTCCTCGAGTTGCACCAGGTGGCCCGGCTGGCCAGCAGCTGCCACAGGGATGCACCTCAGCGACTCAGCCATAGCCTCAGCAGTGCATTCCACCTGAAGCTGCTTCAGGCACCGCGACGACGCCACCAGCCCCCCCAACGTTTCCTGCTCCACCCACCCTCCCGAAATGCCCCAGCTTCTCGGCCTCTTGATGTGCACCCTCTCGAGTGACGGCACCTGCCAGTGGCGCCCTTGGCCGGTAGAGAGGCCGGTGACGGTTGTGATGGATGTGAGGGATGTGAGGGTGGGGGGCGGGCGGGAGCTCTGATGTCGCGATTCTCGTCGTCGTCGGCAAGTTCACTCAGCTCGTGTCCTCTGTCTCGTTTTAATTTGTTGTGTCTTTTACAAAACTCAGAAGCGGGAAAACTCAGAAGCGGGAAACGAAAATGTGGCAGAGTGCATCTGCACACCCTGAACAAAGGAGCTGGTCTGTGTATCTCTGTCTGGGTACCTTTCTATCTGTCCATCCCTTTATCCTTCGACGAATCTTCTTCTCGTCCAGCATCGTCACCGTGACGTCATCACTGCGCTCAGCGTCAGTCAATTTGGCTGGCATCGAAAATCTGGCCATCCCAACGGCGCATGAGGCACTTCGCACACGGGCGGCCCCGAAACTACTCCAAACAGGAACCTTATGTCACGCCCCTCGGTTCCCTCGGTATTCTCTCTCCTCGGCGGCCTCCTTCTTTCGTTGTGGTTGGCGGCGGCCGCCCCCGAGGAGCTGGGTGAGAAGCAGCTGGAGGTCAGCAAGGCAGACCTAGAGGAGCTCCTCGATGACCTGCTGGAGTTCCTGAGGATCAAGGAGCCAGCAAACCCCTACGTGACGGGTGACGATGGAGACGTCCAGCTTAACGCAGCCCTCAGCACTGCCATTAAGAACGTAGGTGGTCCACATCCATAACCGAAACAATTGCAAATGTTTCATTGTCTGCTTCAGGTCCGCGAGTCGGATGAGCATTTGTCCGTGTTGAATGCTACCTTCCCTTTGGCCTCCTTTGATTTCCCCGACTGCGAAGCTTCCTACCCTGCCAAAGAAGACGCCGAGGGAACCTTTGAGAAGGTAGGCAGGAGAACGGGACCAGTCAGTCAATGCGAGGGCTCCGCGTCTTGCAGGTGCTGGACGAAGGCATTCTCGAGATTGGCCTGTCAATCATTAGCGATCCCACCGAGCCGGGGAGTGTAGGTGCTTACTATGTTGCCGTCAATGAGCTGATTCTGCCCGAGCTATCAAGGGTACATGCAGCATACGACGCTTTAAGTATATCGGCCAAGTTGCCTCATCTCTGGTCCTCGCTTGTTTTGCCGTTAGGAGTATGGCGTAGACATCAAGGCCAATTACACGATTATTGACAACACAGAAGATTTCTTCCTCCAGTTTAGAGAGGCTTTGAATGACGAGACTGTTGATGCCATTACCTTCTTCTCTGTACGTCAGAGTGGGTGGAAGCGTACGACTTTGATGCTCGTCGCCTTGTTCTCTCATCAGGTTACTGAGGAACGTTCGCAGTCGGTAGATTATACGAGCTGCGCCATCGTCAAGTATACACGCTCTTTGAATGAGTCGGTCAGCTCACTGAATAAGTCGGTCCGTGTATGTGTGTGCAGCTTCGTTAACGAGGTCGGTGTGTGGGTCGAGGAAGACTCTGAATTGGCGACAGTTGACGTGACGGAGGACCCCTCTTCTCTAGACGGGTGGGGAGAGTGAGGGCGCATTGTATATGTAAGTAACGCTTGGCTGGATTTGTTGTGGCTGCAGCAAGAGTGTTGGCGTCTGCCCCGGGTGTTTCTTTATCGACGACTTCGTCGCGGTCACACAGGAGCTGGGCCTGGAGGTGACACTCGTCGAGATTCCCATCACTGAACTCGTCGACGAGTTGCGGGCGGGCACTGTGGACGCAGTGGCAACAATACTGGTAGGCGAGTCGGTCGACGAAGATTGCATGCATACATACATACATACAGCGCTCTTTGCATCTGTCTATGGTGCTTGCTTATGTGATGCTCTCGATGTGTACAAATATATCGGCAGACGAATGGCCCAGGGTTCAGTCTGTTTGAGGCGGCTGACGACGTTGTTAAGCTGGAGGGATCATTCGTCCTCGGCGATGACACACGGGCGGCTGTGACACGATTCGCAGGGCCAGACAGGAGGCGGTAAATAGCGCCTCCGCTTTACATTTTTCCAGTGTTCACGATCTAATGTGGCCCATTGCAAGGCCTCCTTTTGGCATTTCAAAGGGATAGCGCATGAGGGACAGCTGAAGAGTGCTGCCTCTGCCTTCCTACCTTCGTACGTACCTGTGAGTGCAATTTGTGTGTGTGTCTGTCCCTGTCATGAGCTACTAGGGATTGAGGAGCGTGAATACGAGGCTATCTATAATCGGTATTGATCTTGCCCAGCCAGATGGAATGCTTTTGTAAGCCATTAAATGCGATGCGAGTGTTTTTATGTACTGAGTACCTAGAGAGCCTGCCTGCCTTCCTGCTTACGCGTCTCTCCCGCTCTCTCTCACTCTCTCACATGAGGCATTAAACACTGCCGTGAACTGTCTGCTGCCTTCGTGCGTTTCATTATACGTTTGGCTTCTTCGCTCTTTTTCATTGTACACGCTCACACATTTCATGGCCAAATGGTTGTACAGGCTTTCATGTAGACCATTCACACATATGGACGGATGGATGGACAGGCAGACACGTCAATGCACACGTGGTTGTAGTCTGCGGCAGTTTTGACGAGGGAAGGACTTAGTCCATTCATGCAGCCAGCCACTTATCCCATCCATGCATTTGTACGGACACAGTCGCCAATGAAGAGTCTGCTCCTATGTTTTCCTCCCTTGCGATGTGTGCGTGATCGTGAGTGCTGGCCGTGAAGCTGACGGCTGTACCATCCCGTAATCGTTTAGGGGCGCGGAAGTCGATGCCAAACACCAGCAATTTTGCGATATCCATTCATCCATCCACACAGTGAGGAATCACGTTTCTTGTCGATCGGTGTCTCTTCATCTTTCCCCCTTGGAGTCTCTGTCTGCGAGGCACATGGTGTGGCATATACTGCTCGACTGTCCATTCACTTGAAACTGTATGAAACGCGCACAAAGCGCACAAGACGTGCAGAGAAGGGCGCCTTTGCGTCCCCTTCGCTGCCCCCCTTTATGTAGACACACGCCACACATCGTCACATGACTGCTGACCACACACACTCAGCCAGCCAGGCAGCCGACCATACGGAGGGAGACACACGCGCACTCAAAATTGCATGCCATCAAAGGACAACCTTACATCTGCCAACCAGATAGGTATGCTGAGTAGTGAGTTAGTCATTCACCCACACACGTGTGTCCACAGCTGACTTTTTGGGCGGATGTTTTCGATGACATGCATATTGAGAAAAACGACACATAGCAAACTCGGATGTAGGACGCAAAAGCAGACACACGCCGTTTCACCACAACACCACACACACACACACTCACTCACACACACACTCACACACACACACAACAACATAACCCAACAACCAGCTTCGACTGAGGTAGTGTCATGGGAGACATCATACGCAAGTCATTGTGTGCATGTAGACCTTAAGCACACACACAAACCTTCCATCACAAGGCTCCTTCCATCAGCATAGTCAAGGGTGCATGCTGATATCTATAGGGCCCAACAACTGTCATAAGCCCTATATATAGCGCGGAACAAAGCACAGGACACGCTGGACGAGCCTACAGGTGACGTACACGTGACCCTTAAGGTGCGTACACCTGCCGCCACTACTTCAGGCAGGAACCAACTCTGCTTTTGCTGCTCGAAGCCTCGTTTTCGAGGCCTTAGAGATGCACATAGAGACTAGCAAGACAAAAATTCAGGCAACTCCAATTGGTTTGACGATGAAGCACCCTCTGTCGCACATCAGGAGGAAGAGACAGAGGCTACATCATCCGGCACTGGCTACATCATCCGGGACTACGATCGATCTCTTTGCTTGCGGTCCATCCCATCCACCCCACAAGTACACACCAATACAGGCGTCCGCCACACACACCACCCTCCAGCCCAGCAGCCCTGACCGACACAGCCACGCCAATCACACCCTTTCCACACCTCTCCCGCACTGAACGTGTCAACACGAGACACACAAGAGCAAAGGAATATGGATATCTGGCAGGCAAAGTGCAAAGGTCGTACAGAGATACCCACAAAATGGAAAACAAAGGGATTCACCACACAAACCACACAAACCACACACCCCATGCATGCACCGTACGCAGGGTTGCTTCGGCAGCTGCCAAAAAACAGCGCCAGATCAGCGTATGAATGAATATACACGTTTATATGTTTGTATGCCTGCATGTCTGTATGAATGTAAGACGAGAGTCGGAATCGACCCAGCCTGAACAGAAACTCCGGCAGCCACGGATGCACTTAGCTACGTGCATGAAACAGGAACACGTGCAAGCACCACAGCATGAAAGGGCACAAACGTGTGAACATACGAAAGCCAAGCCATGTATGCTGGCTACCCCGGCACCCAACGCACTCAGCCAGGCCACTAGCCGGCTACCCCGGCACCCACCCACTCAGCAAACACCACGCTCCCTCGCTCCGTCCGTCCCTCCCTCCCTCCCTGCCTCCCTCCCTCCCTCTGTGTCAGTTCAGTCCGTACGGGCTCCCTCCCATCACTTGTGTGTGTCTTTGATCCAGCTTTGCCTTCAGAGAATTGAGGATGTCAGAGAGCCACATGTCGCTCTCTCCCTCTGCTGGGCCATGTCGCTCTCTCTCTGCTGTCTGCAAGTGGCCGAACAAGCTTGCCCTTTTCTCAGCTCTTGCTAATGCCATCATGACTGCATCTCGCATCTCGTCAGGGAACACGGGACTGTCTGGGACCACTCCTGCCTCAACCGGTAACAGCGACGGCACAAAGTCGGCATTGATTTTCAGGACCCCAAACCTGTCCACCAGCTCGTTCCTCTGCGTCGTCTGAACAGGCACACCACCGCACAGCGCAACATGCGAGCCGTTCCTCAACGTGCCCTGTGAATCGTTCACCTGTCCGTCGATGACTTCGGGGTTTTGCGTGAGTCTAAAGCTGTTTCCGTTGAGGTTGGCATTCACCCACAAGTCGAGCTGCTCTTCCTTTGCCAGCAAGGGCTCCGCAACCACAAACCAATTCACAGCCTGACAAGCAGGGCAAGAAAGACGCAAGCTCCACCGATTAAGAGGCGAATTCCCCTGTGATAGTCGCTTGCCTGCGTGCAGGGGGGCGTTGTGAGCGAACCAGGGTAGTGGAAGATCTTGGAATCCGCTGCGAACTGGCCGAGCTCGGAGAGGTCTGCGTCGACTGTATACATGACGTCTGGCGCATCGACTGAAGGGATCCTGGGCCTGCCATCTGGGTTTTCTGCATATATGTGCACCGAATGACACCCGCGTGTGCACACATTCTATGAAAATCGTTCCGCAGCCGCACGTGAATGTGCTTACCGAGAGACCGAAGGAACGTATTCGTCTTTGGGCCTTCCGCGAACAGAAAACCGAGAACCGCAAACTCAGCTGTCAGTCAGTCGACACACAGACAGACAGACCAGCAGTAAGGCAGTAAAGCAGTCATTCTGTGGGCCACTCACGCAGGGTTTGATCATTGTCGGTTCGCACGTGCACAATGTGCATCTCCAGGGGGAACTGTTTGCCGTCGAACGTGTGTTCCGACCGTGAGTGGAAGTGAAAGCTGGACAAGGAGCAGGGCACAATCAAGGCAGGAAGGCAGGCAGGCAGGCAGGTGTGCGTTCTGGCTTGGCTTGCTTACGACACGGCGACGAATTTCTTTGATTGGTACTGGAGATACCCAAAGTCCTCTGTGCCGTCCGGATCCCTCAGCTCTCCGTCCACGAATATATCGTTCCTGTGCACACACACAGACACACAAAGTGCATTTTCGTGTATACAACGAGAGGGCAGCAGGCTGACCAGAAGATGGTGATTTCCTCCTCCAGTGGCGGGTAAAAGAAGCTGACCACCGACGCCCCCTTCTTCACCTCGTCCTTCCTGATGTCGATAGGGCTCTACGCAGATGCGTATGTAAGCCATAGACACACGCACACACAGACAGACAGGTGAGCAACGTTTGTTTGTGTCGGCTGCCATGCCCACACATACATATTTGGCACTGTGCGTACCGATCTGAGTGTGGCGCCGCACTGGTTGTTCGGGATGTCATCAAGGGTGAACCAGTCCGCCCCATTTTGTTCGAAGTCAAACGCGACCTCACCTCTCACCGCCAGGAGAAGCAGAGTGCCGACGCCGAGAATCAACAGACACGTACTATGTCGGATTGTCATGGTGGACGGAATGACGAACAATGTCTGAGGGGGAGAGGTACAGTGTGCGTACAGACTCGGAGGCGTTGGAGGCCGGCTTCGGACAGGATCGCAATTTTTCGCCAGCATGCAAAGATGTCCAAAGAATAAAGCACTCGTTCAATCTTTCATTCAGTGGCCGTTCTCTCGTGTCTCAATGATAAAAAGTCGGTTTCCTGCCATCGACGTCCATGTGTGCATGTGTCCCATGTGTGTTATGTGTGCATGTGTCCATGTGTATTGTCTGCAGCACAAAGTGGAGGTGGTCGCCCGCACCGGCGTAGTGGGCACGAGGGGGGAATCAGGTCCCGACACAGGCAGAATGCCGACGACATACGAGAGATGAGGGGCGCTGCAGATTTGACCGGCCACACCCCGTGAGGCGCAAGGAGCTCCACCGAAAGTTTGAGCAGGACAGGAAGTCTGCCTTGTGATAGTGGTAGGCAGAAAGAGATGGACAAAGAGCGTCGGTATAAGATGCATGGAGACTAGCTATCTCTTGTTCCCTCCGAAGAGCAGTGCCTTCTTCCTCTCTATCTCCAGCACTCGCTTATCCAGAGCACTCGCGCCTCCCCTCGCCCCCTTTTCCCCGCCCTTGCCGCCACTGGCGGCCGTCCGCCTCACGGCGAGGTAGTCCGGAGGCATCTCCACATTGACATCCCGCCCCCCGCCCTTATTCACACGCACTGTCACCACGCCGCGCCCCCCCCTCTTGACTGCCTTGCCGCGATTGCCGGCTAGCGGGCCTTTGAGCACATACACCTCATCGCCCTTGTCCACCTTTGCCGCCTTCACCCATCCGGTTGGCAGTTTCCTGCCCTTGTCCACTTTCTCCTTGGCGATCAGCTTTAGCCGTTCCGCCTCGCGCAGAGCAGCCTCGGCAAGCTTGAGGTCCTCCTCCTCCTTCAGCCGCGACACAAGGGATCGCAGCTCGCCCTCCTCGGACTCCAGAGTAGCGAGTCGGATCTTGGCCGTCTCGAACAACACCTGCACACATGCACGATATGCACCCACGGGTCGGTACATTCACAATACATCACTTAGATCGCTGGCGTATGCATTTATGGATATCCGTCTCCTGACCTCCTCTTTCGATTGCTCCACTTGTTCCTTGGCGACCTCCAGCTCCCTCTGCAGCGCTTCCGTCCTCTTGGTCTCCCTCTTAAGCTCCTGCTTGAGCGACCTCACACTCTCTTTTTCGTGCTCCAGCTCCTTGACCAGTTCAGTCAGCCGCCGCGTGTCCTCATCGAGGAGCAACCGCGCACGATCGAGCACACTGCTCGGCAGCCGCAGCCGCTCGGCGACGTCCAGTGCCAACGACTCGCCAACCATGCCCAGCTTGAGGCGGTAGGTGGGCCGCCCCTGCATCCACTCCATCGCACCAATGCGAAACCGGCGATCACTCGCTGCGAGCTCCTTGAGCTGATCGATCGAATGAGGCGAAGGGGGGCACACAGAGAGCAACGGCGTACTAGGAATGACGTATGTCATCGGTGGGTCTTGTGTATATATGGTGCGCTTGCCTGAGAGAAGTGAGTGGTGAGGGCGACTTTGCAGCCGCTGTCGACCAGGGTCTCGAGCAGCGCCTGCGCGAGTGCGGCTCCCTGGGAAGGGTCTGTGCCCGTCCCCATCTCGTCCATCAGCACCAGCGCACCACGACCCGCACGCTCAAGCACAGCCTGTACAAGCGAGCATATGCAGACAGGGATGTGCGACTGACATTATTGATCCTGCTTGCTCGTCATCACCTTAGAGACGAGCAGGTGGCCCGAGAAGGTGCTGACGTCTCCGGTGACTGTCTGAAGGTCGCCTGCATGCCATTGGAATGCACACACGCGAAGATGATACGTACATCACAATGTCATCTCGTGATGTGCCTGCCTCTGTGCGCAACGTTGTGCGTGAATGTGAGCGTACCAATGTCAGCCAGGATGGGGTTGAACCAATCCACCCGTGCTCCATCCATTGCCGGCACGGGAAGGCCATACCGCACAAACAGCGCAAACAGGCCCAGAGTCTTGAGGACGACCGTCTTCCCTCCCGCATTCGGCCCCGTGAGCACAAGAGCATCATAGTCGAAGCCGAGCGAGATATCATTGGCTGTGGGTTCGACGCCGCGCAGAGCCAGGACTGGGTGCCTGGACTGATCGATGTGGATCTTCCCCTCAGTGCCGACAGTTGGTATGGTGCCGCCGATCTTCTCTCCCAGCAGATACCTTGCCTGAGCAAGGTCCACCCTCCCAGCACACTCGACTGCATTGGCGATGGCGACGGCATGTCTTGTGACCATCCACGACATATCTGAGCAAATCCGGGCCCCCTCGCTGCGCAGAGACATTCGTGCCTCCATCAGCTCATTGGTGGGCTCCACGAGCTCTGCGGGCTCGAGGTAGACTGTCTTGCCGCTCCCGGAGAAGTCATGGGAGATCCCCAGTCCTTTCCTGTAGCGTCGCTGGACGGCAATCACGAAGCGGCCAGTATCTGTTCGGCTCCATTTGCCCCCGGAGCCGTCGGCAAGCTTCGGCTGCAACTCCGGCCGCCGGGCAATCTGTTCGATGCGCGCCTGCAGACACAATCACACGGCCCTCCTGTGAAGAGCTCAGAAGTGCATCGACGAGATCTGTCACCTGCAAGGACATCTCCAGCCGGGCGATTGATTCGCGCAGACGGCGCAGCTCGGGAAACCTGTTGCCAGATAGCACGGGACTGTCCTCACTCCCTGGCGAAAGAAACAGAGGGGGACAATCGAACAATGGATGATCCTCATACGGTGAAGTACTGTATGTGCTTTTCACCCTCAAAGGCTCCATTGAACAGATCTGTCAGCTCGCTGTCAAGCTGCACGGGCTCCATTAACTCCAGCAGCGAGCCGATGCCCCTGTCACTCTCTCTCTTGGCCGCGGCAACCAAGCGGTCATGCGCGGCGCTCAACCAGCCCTTCAGATGCGTCACATCGTCCAGGGCTGTGCCAATCCGATAGAGATCAGGCAGGCTGAAAGATGAACGCGCCCTTCCCTCGTCACTCACATTCACCAGATGCTCTGCACAGCACGAAAAAGCGTCCATGATGTCAATGCTGTGGACCTGCATGTGCATGTACCTATATCAAGGGAGGTGGCGAAGGGAAGCTGCTCCGATAGCCGCCGTACATCCCCGACCTGCTCGTATAGAACCAGGCACTCGTCGTGAGATCCTGCAAAGGACGCGCTACGAGCCAGCCGTCTGCCGGGCGAAGTGGAGGCGGCCTCGGCCAGGCTCGCCATGACGACACGCCAGTCCAACGATTGCCAGGTGCGCTCAAAGAGGTCGAGGTGCAAGGCGTCATCAGACATGGGCAGCGCACTCATCGCCATCGCATGCCACCGCCTGTCCAGTGGTGCCCTCGTTCTTGCAGGATGAGGCAGGATCCGGAAAGCTGACGCGAGAGAGAAGATGCTTAGAAAGGCCGCCTTGATCAGATCCGATGATCGCTTTGCCATGTATGGGGGTGGAAGGTTGCGGCGAACTGTCGATGGACGTTTCCTACTGCAGGTCGGTCTCTTTGTTGCCTAAACTTCCTCTGGTTTTCACTGCAAGCTTCCGAGCAGCTGCGAGCTTGGAATGGGAGGAGGAAAGAAGCAGTGAGGGAAGAATGACAAGCAGGACAAGCGGAAATTCGTTGAGCCCAGAGGAAGAGAACAAGAATTGACGAAGTGTAAGAAGGGAATCCGTTGCCATGTGTGGTCCCGGGTGATGGTCTTGTCTTGTGTGCACCACTGACAGGCGCCTGCCCGCCGCGGGCAGGGAGCCATCTGCCATCGCAGGCCTGAAACCCAGTGGGCGGAGACCCTGAGCGGGACCGCTTGTCGCTGCCGTCACCATGGCTGAGGGAGCAGGTTGGTGGACGTCAGGGATCACAAACATGCTGCATCGCATCGCTCTTCTTTTTCTCTCATCTCTGCGCATGTGATTCCATGTGTGATCCTGCCTGAAGGGCGCGGGAATGGTGAGATACACTCACTACATTCGGCTGGCTTGGCCGGACACTCATATGGTCTGTGTGTCGTATGGCGTGTGTTGCAGTGTCGGGTCTGAATAAGTACAAGCTGGTCTTCTTGGGAGAGGTAGGTCAGCCAGCGCACGCACCTGGATGCAGGCGCAGCAGACAGGTCGTCGTGGGATGATTTGTTGCAGCAAGCGGTTGGGAAGACGTCCATCATAACCCGGTTCATGTATGACACCTTTGACAACAACTACCAGGTCACTATATCTCTCTGTCTGTTGTCTGCCAGCCCTATGTATGTATGGTGCCTCTCTGTCTACCGCTATGTCCGTGTGGTGTCTGCAGGCGACCATCGGCATAGATTTTCTGAGCAAGACCATGTACTTGGAGGACAGAACAGTGAGACTACAGCTGTGGGACACCGGTGAGTGAGTGCGTCAGCGAGCCTTTCAGAAGAGAAGAGCCCAGCCAGTATACTTACGAAGAAACGTGCACAAGTGGCCACGAGAGTACACCACATGCGTCCTTGTGGATGGTTCGATCAGCTGGCCAGGAGAGATTTCGCAGTCTCATTCCCAGGTGGGTCGGTGGGTCAATGGGTGCATGTGGGTGCGACATGGTGATGACACACATTACTAGATGACGAGTCAGAAGTCTCTCTCATGTTGACATTGAGGCATTTGTCTGAGTGACCGCACAAACACACGCATGGATAACAACCATCCCTTTGGGAGGGAGGGGGTGAGCGCCTCTATGTGGTGTGTATGCTTGATCGACTGCGCAGTTACATTCGGGACTCGTCTGCTGCCGTGGTCGTCTACGACATCACGAGTAAGGCCCCACCCTCAGAGCCATGGGTTGGTTACCTGGATGTATGTATGTGTGTATCATCGTGTGTGCAGACCGTGCGTCGTTCCTCAACACGACCAAATGGATTGAAGACGTGAGAGCAGGTGCGTCAAGGGGCACTCACAGAGACAGACAGACAGACAGACAAGCACTCTCCCTCCCTTTCTCTGTCTGATTGGTGCAGAACGGGGCAGTGATGTGATCATCGCCCTGGTCGGCAACAAGACGGACCTCGCGGACAGAAGGTAGGTGAGCGGGCGGCGGAAGGGAAGCGCAGCACATTCAACTCAGCCGCGTGTCTGTCTCTTGTGGGTCGTCCGTCTGTGCAGGCAAGTGTCAGTTGAGGAGGGCGAGCAGAAAGCAAAGGAGGTCAGCCACACAGATAGACAGACAGACAGACAGACATACAGACAGACAGACAGACAAAGAGAGGCACACTGTATTGGTCGTCAGCTTGTCTAACCATCTGTCTGTCGTGTTTGTGTTGTTGTGTGGTGTCAGAACGAGATCATGTTCATCGAGACGAGTGCCAAAGCAGGCTTCAACATCAAAGCCCTCTTCAGGAAACTGGTGCGTGCCAAGAATTGGGATAGGCATAGACACACACATACACACACACATAGAGAGAAGGGTGCGAGCATCACATCACACCAAGCTCTGTCTGTGGCTCCACATTGATTGGCCTGCAGGCGTCAGCGTTGCCTGGCCTGGAGAACCAACAGACTACGGGCGACTCACAAAGTCAGTCAGTCGGTCAAATGGATGGGATCGCTGTCGTGTATGGTATGGTGTGGTGTGTGTGGTGCAGTGGTTGACATCCAGCTCAACGCGGCGCCGCAGGACACCAAGGAAAAGGCCAACAAATGCGCGTGTTGACTCAATTGTGTTGACTGCCGGCGACGATTGATGAGACATGTCTGTCTGTATGTATTCGTGGGTGGGTGGGTGTCCATCAGTCAGTCGATGTTTGGGCTGGGCTGCGCGTGTTGTGCCTGTCTGTCTGTCGGCTGCAATTAAGTGGTGTGTGATGGATGGATGGCCTACACTACACAGAGACGGATGCAACAAATCAATTAATCGATCGATATCATGACTGACGTCAGTTGACTGACGCCAGTTGACTGACGCCTAATGCACAAGCTAAGCTATCAGATAAAAAGTGTCTTGAAGATGGATAGCACAGCAGCCTGACCTACCTCAAGGTATGCACGGACGATGATGGATGCACACACATACTGAAATGAGGCATCCCAGTGGCAGGAGCTCTGGGGTGAAAGATACAGTAGGTGGGACAGCACCGAGACACTTGGAAAGAATTAAGAAAATTGACGGACGGACTGAGATGGAGTAATTGATTGGTGTGTTTGCCTGCTGTCTGCCATTCATTCATGATGTACTGCATGGCCATCACATCCATGTATGCCTGGAGTGCCTGGCGGATTTTAAAAATTGCGTGTCCGTCGCCCGTTCCATGCCGTCGATCTCGCGCTGCGCGACGGGCCATCCGAGGATGGATGCTTCGCTGCTTGCTGTTGAGGGCAGCCATTCGGAAGAGATACGTTCTGTGAGTTTTGAATAGGGCTATAACGGTAGTTGCAGCGGTCTGTGTTCTTTCGTATCTCTCGCCGTACGCGAACCAGTCAGAAGGCAAACATGTCTCTTTCCGTCATGATACACACTTTCTGCCACAATTGCTTTGATCCTTGTCGACAAACTTGCACCCCGCCACACCAAAGAGTGTCTCTTTGTTCTTGAACTTGCCACCATGGTAGATATGAAAGTAGGCGTAGGAGGTCTTGCTGCTCCGGTCGAAGGCCGGGTTCATCTCGATGTCTTGAGGCTCCTCTTGCTGCGTGCACTCACAAATGCATACGCGATGACCTCGTATGTTAGGCCAGCTGGCCTTTCCTTCCCTTCGTCCACCTGGCTAAGATCCAGCAGCGTACGGATCACCGCTTCATCGTTGATGCAGGGGGTGCCCGCCTTGCGGAAGACCCAAGACAACGCATCAGACGCCTCTAGCACCCACCCTGAACGACGCAGCAGCGTAGTGAGTTCGTTGATCATCTCTTCCTTGCCCTGGGCGCTGCCGTCGTGGGCCACAAGCGGGATCTTGTTGGCTTGAGACCGTAGATGGTACAGAAGAAAACTCACAGTGTGGTCCGTCTCATTCCTGTGAATGACCGCGCATGGATATCGCGTCAACCAGCCAAGGGCAATTGCTCCCTCCGGATCGGCAAACCAGGCGTCCTGTCCCGCTTGAGCGTAGGTCTGCTGATACATCCGGTCATCGGCTGTGCCATCTGGATGGAGAGTCACGCGCACCGTGGGTCGACTGGAGAATCGTTGCAAACAGCTACCTCTGTGTCGTGCCTCAGTATCTCGTCCCACGACTCGGCGGATGTCGTCAAGTGCTGCCCGATGCGGAGAGCAGGGCTGCTGCAGTGCGCGACCGAGATCCCGATGAGCACACAAACTGTTAGATCGTCAGGATGAACCAGAGAAGGCATTGCAAAGAGATTACATGCCTCTTACTTAGACGATGTCCGCATCGAGGGGCCGTCATGCATTGGGAGGGAGACGCCCCCACGCCCGCCCGCGCATGCATACTCCCCCAACGCAAGTAGCTGATGTGGTGACGCGTACATGTACACGAGAAGCTCATGTGGACAAGCAAGGACAAATACATGTGCATCGAATGCTCCGTGGACATGTCTCGCCTGTATGCCTGGACAGAGGGGCGGCAAGCAGGCAGACGTGTCCATCACACACAGACCCCCTTTTTTTGCGGCTTTTAAAACTTCTCCTCGATATTGTATTTTTTGCGTTGTTTTGAAAATTTTTCGGACGTTTGCCTCACTCGAACCGTTTCACGGTAGGGCATCTCTCACCCCTTTAAATGATATTTGTTGCAAGTGTGCTGCTTCTTCTGTCCCTTCTGTCGCCCGCATGACGAGCTTCGCGCCTTCCGACGTGCTGCGTGCGATGGAGGAGATCTGTGTCGAATCGTCAGGCTGGGCAACCAAAGGCAGTGAGGTCCAGCTCTGTCTGGCTAGAAGGGAGCACGTCAAGGATATCATGGCGTTTATTCGTGCCTTAGCGGCGTTTGAACAAATGTCAGATCAGGTCAAGACAAGCGAGGTGCGCTCACACAACGGTGTGCACAGCATGCACCGCACTCTCTCTCGTGTGTGTTCTGCAATGAATGGAGTGCCGTTTTCCTGCTTGGCTTCTCAATGTGTTCAACCAGGAGTATCTGCTCAATGTGGGATTCGGCGACCGGCCGAGGTTTTATTGCTTCTTGGCCTACTCTGGCTCTGCACCTGCCGGTTTTGCCTTGCTTCACGCTGCCTTCAGCACGTGGCGCGGGGAGTACCTCTTCCTTGTACGTAAGCATCTAAATCAGTGCACGCACGTTTGGATACACAATGGGTGGGTGCTTGTAATATGTGTGTGTGTGTGGCGCCAATCGATCAGGAGGATCTTTATGTACACGAGGAGCATCGGAAGAGCGGCATCGGCAAAATGGCAAGACATACGCACACAGAGAGGGACAGGGACAGGCAGAGGTAAATGCTCTTTCTCTGTGCTGCCTGCCTGCTGTGTGCGCTATGTTGGATGGTGGACATCGCAGTTGCTTCGGGCGGCGATAGAGTTATCGGCAAGACTACGGTGTGCTAGGCTGGATTGGCAGGCGCTCGATTGGAATCAGCCTGCTCTGACATTCTATCAGCACAAGATCGGCGCTGAGCAGATGCGTGAATGGATCTATCATCGCCTCAGTGCCGAGAGCATGGCGGCCTTTTTGGAGGCGGAGCAGATTAGGGACAGCAGTGACCGATGAGAGACGTGTGCGTACTGTGCTGCATAGCAGACGGGCAGTTAGTTGTGGCTGGCTGGCTGGCTGGCTGGCTGGGAGAGATATCGGTGCTCAAACACTTCGAGATAGATGAGTATTTGGACAGACAGCTTGGACATGAATGCATTAGTTAATCGCACGGACATTCTCTCACGAGAACAGGAATGACGTCCAAGCGAAGAGGGAGAGAGAACACTCCATTCAGTTGCACCCGGCATAGTTTTCACCTGCCGTCCTTCTGATGCGCTAGCACGGACGTCATTCACGTCAGTAAACAAACAATGTGGCACTCAGCGCACCAGGCACACACACACGCTTCACCCAGAAGCACACAAACAATCAGTGTGAAGTGCTTCATCGCGCATGCACACGAGCGCGTAGACACACACGTGTACCCACGCAAGAAGGTAAGTGGACAGACAAGTAAGGAATTGCCGTCACGTGATGCGTGTAGGTGACCGCGGCAGCCTCAGTGTCCCTACCTGCCTGCCTGCCCGCCTGCCCCTAGACCTTGACTCACACCTGTACGTACGCAAGTGAGACCCGGACTTACAAATAGGTCCCCTCCTTTCTCATTCCATGCAGAGAGAGAGAATCAAGCACGAGAGGACGTCGGCAGGCTTTTGTCTCTTCTCCGGCTTGTCGCATACAGTTCCGTCCCCGTGCCCACTGTCGAGGTCGTCGTGCTGGCCTGCCCCCCTCCGAGCACCGCAGCCATTGCTGCATTGGCCGCTCTGTGGCTACTCGGTGTCTGAGATGTGGCTGCTCTGTGGCTACTGTGCATGGGGGGCGACATTTTCGGACTGCTGGGTGTGGGTGGGGAAGCCACGCCCGATGATGTCACAATGGACGACCCAACCTGCTGAAGACGACGGCCAGCTCGACCTGAACGCAAGCACAGATGGTGACGGACAGAGGGAGTTGGAACGGCCCCCAATGTGTCTGCCTGTCTTATCGGTCGCCTTGCCTGTTGAAGCTGCTGGCGATGGAACAGGGGAGGCACTGCGAGAGTTATGTGTGGTGACGGGGCGAGGTAAGGTCGCCTCCTTGTCCGTGTCTCGCCCACCACCTGCACCAGCTCCACCACCGGCTACAGCAGCCGTAGCACTGGCAGCTGTGGGCGTCCGCCGCACAGACGACTGCGGAGCCCGCCTCTCGACGGTCTTCTCTCTCGCCCCCACAGTGGCATTCTCGCGCCTCAGCTGCCGTTGTGTCCCCTCCTTGGCCGACCGGTCTCTGAGGATCGACTCAGCCATGGCCAGCAGCTGTGACGGGGGGGCATCCGACGCGCCGCTCCGCTTCGAGGCGTCCTGGCTGTCCTCGCCAGCCGACGCGATCGTGACCCGTTTCCTTTCACCCGCGATCGCGCTCTCCCGCTTTGAGCGCCTTCCAGTGGCGTCCTGGGAGTGCATACCGCCACATGGTGATGCCGCTGCGCTGGCAGCAAAGGCCGATGCGAGCCCATCTTCCTCCTGCTCGTCCCTGCTGCTGGTCCACGAGAATTTGCTCAGCGGCGCGTGCTGGGGCGTGGCGAGGGCCGAGGCAGGCACACTGAGGGCACCGGAGTCTATGACGCTCAGACGCGGTGGACGGTGCGTCATAGACTGGGGGGAGGTGGGCTGGCAGGGCGGCTCCCCACTCCTGTCGTGCTCGTCCTGCGACGACAGAGCTGAGAACGGGCCAACCGTGGCGGCCAAAGGGCCCGGTGCATGTGTGTCTGTGGACGCCACGGACGGGAGGAAGGGTGTGGAGTGAGAGGAGGGCAGGGTGTCGCTCCTCCTGTCGTAGAGCAGCTGTTGACGCAGCCAGGGGTCCATCATCACCTGCATGCACGCAGCATGGAGGCACTACCGTGTGTCCTTGCATCCGTCCACGCGTAGAGACAGACAGACAGACGTACGTCGTTAGTGGACGGTCTCTTCTTGGGGTCTGCAGTGAGCATGGCCAGGATGAGCGCCTGCATCGCCTGACTGCAGCCCCCCCTGAAGTCCAAACCCTCCTGCATCGATGAACAAACCGGTTCGCAACAAACGCTTTCCGTTTCTCCCTCTCCGCTCACTCTTTCGAGTTTCTCGAGTGTGACTCGGTCTGGTGCGTGGAAAGGCAGTTTGCCGTGGGTCATCGCATACAGAATCACACCTGAACCAGCCAATTTTTATACGGCGAGGATGAGTGAGTCTGCGTATGTCTCACTGACGCACCGAGGGCCCACACGTCGATTTTGAAGGGATCAGAATCTGCGGAGCTTCCGTGATACACCTGAGTTGCAAGCAACCGATACGCACCATCGACCACTTGTGGCTGCCTGGACGTGTGCATCCCCCTGACCTCAGGTGCGAGGTATGCCTCGGTGCCGCCTTCTGTCACCACCCTCTCAGATGGAGCAACAAAATCCTGCATGCATCGACACAGTCAAACGAACAGTTGATATGACAGACAGAAAGGCCGGCAGACACGATCCATGTCTCACTCCTCACCGAGAGGCCGAAGTCGACGATTTTGCATTTCAAGCCGTCATCCAGGAGGATGTTCTCGAGCTTCAGGTCCCTGCATGACACGAAAGTGTTTGGTTGGGGCGTGTGTCTCCCGGTCGCGTCGGTCACCCGTATGTATACCTGTGTACGATGTTTCTGCTGTGGCAGTAGTGGACGCCCTTGACAATCTGCTGGAAGAAATGACGCGCCTCTATACACACAAAAGACGCACAATACACCAATCGCACACGGCAGCCGGCCCTGTCTGCATCTCACTGACTGACTGACTGACTGACCGTCTTCGGTGAGCCGCTGTCTGTTGGCGACGTATTCCCTCAGTTCGCCGTTGGAGGCAAACTCCATGATGAAGCAGATGTAGGACGGGTGGTCAACCACATCGTACATCTGGATGACGTGCTTGTGAGACAAATCACGCAATGCCTGCACCCACACAGCGCAGCCAAGCACATGATTGTGCAAACAGAGAGACATGGCTCAGTTGGCGTCGGTCAGACCTGGATCTCGACGAAGACCCTATCGGCATCGGCAATCTCTCTGAAGGACTTCTTGGAAATGAACTTGACCGCAGCCAACTGGTCTGCGCCACACACACACACACACACACAGAGAGAGAGAGAGACAGAGACAGCCGGCAACCGGCAACCGGCAACCGGCAACCGGCAACCGGCAATGCCGTATGGTGATTGATCAGTCAGTCTTCCTGCGTGCCTCGGTGGCGTGCCATGCTCACTAGTTTCCATGTGCACTGCCTTCATGACTTTGCCGAATCCCCCTTCCCCTATTTTCTCCTTCAGAAGGTACCCTGCCATGATGCCCTCTGTCGCTGCAATCAAAGCGACCGACCAACCAGCGGAAAAGGAAGCCAATTTGTACATGTCCGTCCGTTATATTCAGCCAGGGTAACTTACTCGTGTTGGTTCTGTTGAGGCTCTTTCGGAACCCCCCGCCCTCAGAAATGAACAGAACCTGACCGACGGACGCGCCGACGTGGCCATCAATGGACACAATCATTCGTGTGTCCGCAGGGGAGAGGATTGAGGGGCCGCCCGGCTTACCTCGTCATCGAGGATGCTATCGATGTCCTTGACCTCCTCCCCACTCTCATAAAAACAACGCGACGGGTGAGCTGACACATAGAACATGCACACCATCATAGAAAGACACGAAATGAGGGTTCTCATGCATTCTCCTTTTGCGCGTATATTCTTCCCGCAGTGTGCAGCCCACCAATTCCCAGTTTCCTGCCGGCAGCCTCCAACAGGTCCCCCAGTTTGGCGTGGTGGGCGATGTTGACCTTGACCGGATCCCCTGATCCCCCGTTGCGGGCCACAAACACTGTCCGCGTGGCGTCACAGGACCCTAGTCCCACACCTATGTCGACCTCAGGAAAGCCAAACATCGCAGAACCAAACAGAGCAGGGCTTGTGGGTCTAGGGTTGGGGTTTGAGGATCTCGCCGGAACACCGCATTAACCACGTGCCACTACTACGTCGTGAGTTGCTACAATGGCGAGAAGTGTTTCGTGCATCGTTGCCATCGCTTTGTTCCTCTGCGGCACCTGCCACGGTCGTGTGGAGCAGACCCAAGACATATGCAAGGACTATGATGGCACGCCGCAAACTACAATCACGTAAGCACAGCCATCAACACGCCATTGCATGATAGATAGCATGCATGTGCAGGTGCTATGGCGGGACATTCCTCGTCAAGGTGAGCGATTTGCATGCAGCCGGGCAGGAGTACGATACGTGCTCGGATCCACCACACGCTCTCCCCTCTCTCCCTTGTCGCTTGCAGATGCTGTCTGAGCTCAACAGTGGCGAGTCCAAGACAGTGGAGCATGTCAAGTCCAACCTGCTGCCCTACCTCGGGTACGCTGACACACCATACACGCCAACACGCACACTGCATGCCGGCCTGTGTTGCTGTCGTATTTGCGTGCAGGGGTCCGGATGCCCTCAATGCGCTGGAGCACAAGGACCAGAAGAAGGGTCTGACGGACCTGCGCAACACCGTGCCGCCTGATGTAATAGGATTAACGTTCAGGCAGACGCTCACTCCTCAAGACTATTTTTTAACGCCTGGTCTACTTTAGGTCGTCAAGACTTACGACTCGCTCAAGGTGTGCCATGTCGAGCTGACCGACCGCATCCTCGACGCCATCCCGCAGAAGGAGGTCAACGGACAGATGACGCTGATTCCGGCTCCCAAGTACCACAGCAACGCGTTCCAGCAGACCATGTCCATATTCGACACGCTGATGCAGGACAAAGCGTACGACGAGCGCTCCTGTGCTTTGGTCAAGCACGAGCTGTGATGTAGACGAGAGGGGGGAAGACAAGACGAGTGGGTGGGCGCGTGGTTGTTTTTGCCGTACGCGCGACGCGCGATTTTGCCTGTATATAGAAGAGAATCAGATGCGTATCAGATGCATAGCTGGTGGGCGGGCGGCTGGGCGGGTGCTGGCGGCTCGCGTGTGTGTTGTGCTGTGGTGACCAGAATGGTGCGCCCGTCTTACCTATCTGTGGTGTATGTTTAACTGACTAGCGCGATGGTGTTGAATTCGTGTTTCCCTGCGACTGCCTGTCTGCCTGTCTGCTGGTGTCTGTGGGTGAGTAGGCGTGTGAGTGTGAGTGCGGGGCAGTCGGGAGGAGCGGCGCATTTTGCCAGTGCGGCTTCTCTGTCTTTTGCAGCACACCTGTTTGGATGCACGACAAGTTTCGCGCCTTCATCACGGTGGAAAGGGACAATTCTGGCGCGTCGAACTCGGTTCATGAGAGAGCGACGAGTAATTAAATTGTGCACCAGAGCTCTTGGAGCGTCAGACATGCCGAGCTATATATGTACATACAGACGAACCATACCACGTACAAACACGAAAAACACACAAGGCACTCGCGCCTACTAATCTCACCACACCACACCAGCTAAGCCCCCGATTTGCCCGCCTATCGTTTGTCAAGCAGGACGCCCGCGCACGAATGCACGATCTCATCGTAGTCGTCCGAGTGATACAGCCGCATGAGCAGGTCGATCACCTCCTCCTTCTCCCTTCCACGGTAGGACGGCACGGCCAGGAGGACGCCATCCTTGCTCTGCAGGCCCTTGGATGGGTCGAGGATCCAGTTCGTCAGCTTGCCGTAGCACAGCCCAGTCGCCAGCAGCTGGTCGTACCCCTGAAGGGCCGCTTTATCGGTCTCCCCCACCTCCGTGCGCAGGTTGGTGAGGTCGGCGCGCTGCGCTGGGTCTGGCAGCTTGGAAATCTCGGCAGCACCACCAAGGTAGGGCTGCAGGTTCTCGTACACCTGCACGCAGTAAGTGGGAGAAATGCATCAATGAGTCTCAGAGAGAGAGAGGGGAGAGCGATGCGGCTCACATCCATCCATTCCTTACGTGATCTACAGTCTTCTTGTCGCCGCCATTCAGCTCTGACAGCATTTTTACCAGAAACGTTCCTGGACACAGCACAGAGGGCAGAAAGGCGTTGGATGTCCAGTAGACGGATGTGAGCAGGTGCTGCACTATGCACCTGACCTGAGTAGCAGCAGATATCGAATGCCTCTGAATCGTCGCCGAAGGCGGGGACGAGGGCTGCCCTGTCACACACCGATGAAGCCGCTTCGGCAGCTGACGCCGCGTGGTGGCCTCCCAGCAGCCCCAGCAGAAGAATGCTCCACCAGCCCATTATCTGTCAGAAAATGAGAGACTTCAGACTGCGAATTCCGGCAGCACCGGTTTGATGGCGTTGAAGCGTCGTCGCGATTTCGAACACAGCAGCGGTTTCACGCGAGCTTTAAGCGCGCAAAAGCAGCGCTCCCCCCTCATGGTTCCATCAGCAGCCATCACTGTCCTCTTCCTCACTCATGTCAGCCGTGCATTCAGACCCTCGCCACTCACACCTCGCTCTCCCGCCCTCTCTGCACCAAGATCTCCCACCTCCCGCGGCTTGCGAAGGCTCAAGGCAACCGCTTTGAGGGCCTTCGACATCCGGCAGTCGCTCAACAACTTCTCAGGCAAGGGCAACTTCCCAGATGTCCCGCCAGAGAACCAAACCGAGCCTGGTGAGTGAGTGGCTGTGGGTGCAATGGATGCGGCAGACAGTCACTGCAGTGCACGTATATCCGTGTGTATGCTATGCCTGGGATGTGACGTCTCTGTCAGGTTTGAAGGTAGAGCCATACATGTGGAAGTGGCCTCCAGCTTGGCCGTTCCGCAAGGACCAGTTCAAGCGCACTGACAACACCAGCGACATCGAATTCTTCTCCACAGCTGACATTCGACCCTTCTTCGACGAACCGGCCCGCATCGCACTCACCAACCACTACGCGCGATGCTTCCCAAGTGGCGCCATCTCGGTGCTCGACATTGGTGCGGGCAGCTACAGCTACCTCCCAGGAGACCGCCAGTACGCGAGAGTGGTGGGCATTGGCATTAACCAGGACGAGCTCGACGCCAATCCCGCCCTGACCGAGTCGTTCGTGGTGGATCTGAACTCCGAGGAGGGGTGGATCGACCACAAGCGCCGGATTGCCATTGGAGAGAGAGGCCTGCAGAGGGAGAGCTTCGACGTGGTGCTTATCAGCAACGCCATGGAGTTCTTCACCAAGCCGCGGCGGGTGCTGCGTGAGGCTTGGCGGGTGCTCAAGCCGGGGGGCCTCTGCGTCGTGGCATTCACCGGCGGAAATGCAAACAAGGAAGCCGTCAACAAAAAGGTCGGTCGGTACCGAAGATCGGATCATTCATCTGGTGCATGCACGTGTGTGCGCGTGATATATCAATATTGTACTACAGATGGAGTGGTGGAAGCAGATGAACGACGCGCAGCACATGTACATAACGGGCAGTTTCTTCCGCTTCTCGGCGTCGGACGGCTGGGCGGACCTCAAGGGGTTCGACGTCACGCCACAGGGGGAGGCAGAGAGCATGATGAATATGTTCTCGGGCAGCCCCGACCGATTCGTCTATGCCGTCCAAGCCACAAAGGTAAACTTTCAGTCGGTCACCCACCTCACCGAGTCGTATAACGCCCGTCAAACAACAAGGCCCAACGAGGAAGCACAATCTCCCTCTCTGTGTACGCGCCTGTGTAACTCAGAGGCTGCCTCCGCACCACACAGAGGACCCATATGAGGCTATGATGGGTCAGCTGTGGACGGCTCGTGAGCTGGAGGACGCAGAGAGGCAGCTGGTCGTGGCGCGACTCACACGCGACTTCAACAGGGCCGACACCGAGAGCGAGCAGGAGAGTTTTGTCGATGCTGTCAAGGTAATGAGTAAAATAGACAGAGCCATCCATCCAGCCATCCATCCAGCCATCCATCCAGCCATCCATCCATCCATCAATCTAGTATACCCGTATGATTGGCTGTGTGCTATGTCTGCAGGGGGTGCCCTCCATCTACCGGGTTCTCAAGGTAGGTAGGGCGCAGTTCTGCATGGGTGGGTGTGCAAAGGCATGTTGCCTGCCTGCCTGCCTGCCTCTCTGCGTGTGCAGGAAATGAATCCGGTGACTTTCCCGCCCCCCCTGCGCGCCAAGTTGGCCTCCCTGCTCGCGCCTCAATGGAAAAACACCGAGGCACAGCAAAGCGCACTCAGGTGAGTGGATGGCATGAGTGCACCCAGCCATGCGTCCACAGACACACAGCGTGCATGTTGTATGTTGTGTGTTCGCTTTGTTTGGTTCAATGATGCACGGACACAGGCAAGGTCTTGGCCTGGAGCCCCCCAGCAAGGATTTCTGGCTGAAGCTTGGCCAGCTGAGCGATGACGTGAGTGCGGAGGACCGCCTGATATGGCTGGCCGACATCGTGCCGCAGTTCACGGGAGAGCCCACACACGACGCATACGTCAAGCAGATGATCGACGTCGTCCCTCTCGCAATCGACCTTGTCAAGGAGAGATGCCAGGCAAGCCACACGCCACACACAGATACCTGTGCCCCCGTATTAATACGTGTCTGTGTTCAGGAGTGGAGCGATGCTGACGTGCAGTTGGTGGCGGTCGATCTGGCCATCACCGACTACATGACGGAGCCGCCCAGAGGACGAGCCCGATTCTACCCATGGCTCAAAAACTTCTCAAGGTCAGTCGGTTGGTTACCCACTCCCCCACCCACTCAGGGAGGCAATGAGAATAATATGATGCATCCCCGGCCCCCATGTTTGGCGATATGTGTGTGTGTGTGCAGGGGTGAGCTTGACGACATATTGCGCAAGCGGCGTGACTACAAGATGCTCACGCCAGAAGAAGACGAGATGGAGAGAGAGGCCGAGAGAGAGGCCACAGCCGCATAGCGTCATGTCACATAAACGAGGCCGTTGACAAGCGCGTGTTTACATGCACACTCACACAGAGTGGCCTGTGAATGGAGTGGGTCAAGCGACGGGAGAGGGAAAGAGAAAATGAGAGAGAGAGCGCGATTTATCAGTAAGTATGCATGTGTGCGTGGGTCATGTACCGATTTTTGGGTGCGTCCATGGACGGTGAGGGGAGCTGGTTAAGAATGGTGGGTCAAGACCTATTGATGACATCACCGCACGTCAGCGTTTAGACAACGGCATCGAGTTGGAGACTTTCGCCGAGTGGTCTTCTGCGGATGAAGTTTGAGAAGCCTGATATTCTTACTGGTCAACCATGATGGCCATGCTTCATTTTCCACTTCATTGTCATCCAGCACACCGACATTTTGAATAGAATTAGAATCACCAGTCGCCTGTGCCGGACGGTACAGTGTTCGCATTTTAAGTATGTCGAATTTAGAGATATACCACACGTGACTTTAATCGGTCTTCGCGCGAGGGATGCGCACAAATGTGGCGACATACATGTCTGGTGATCCTGTGTCGCGGCTGCGGCTGCGTGTGGTTTTGTGAAGGTGAAGGGGAGACAGAACCCGTTCTCAGGATGGACTCATCAGTAAGTCACTCATCTTTCTCGGTGTCATTCTCCTGGCCGCCTCCTGTTGTTTCTTGTTGCTCTCTTCTCCCCGTGGCTCTGTGACGTCGCCAGCCGACTGAAAGACAGTCGGCGTTGTTCCAGTCGTTGCTCTGCTCATGACAGACATGCTCATGTACGGGCCGGGCTGCCTCCATGACTGAATGAATCCAGCGCAGAATCATCACACCACGGTACGGGCCGGGCTGCCTCCAACTGTTCCAGCTATCCGCTCGTCCATGCGATACACTGTCTTGTGAGTCCATCGCATGGATGTGTTCAACTTGGACTCGAACCTATTTTATCCCTCCCTTTTTCGGCGAGTCCCTTTTTTCCCCCCTGAAAGTACATCATGCTCTCAGCATCCTCACATGCAGGAGAGTCGTTTGACACCAAAAGTCGAACCCGAAAAATTCCAGCAGGGCGCACTACAAGCGGTACATTGCCAGAAAACTGACCCAGGGGGGTGGGAAACTGTGTTCTGTGCGGAAAACCGGGGCCCCATGCGGAAAACTGAGCCAGGGGCCCGGAAAACTGGTGATCTGCAGTGAAAAACTGAGGCCCTGAGTGGGAAACTGGCCACCTGCACTGGAAAACTGGTGATCTGCAGTGGAAAACTGACCACCTGCGTGGAAAACTGGTGATCTGCAGTGGAAAACTGGCACTCCCACGTGGAAAACTGGTTCTCTGCCGCCTGTACCCAGTTTTCCATTGCCTGATGCCAGTTTTCCACTGTCTCTACCCAGTTTTCCAGTCTCTCTACCCAGTTTTCCATTGCCTGATGTCAGCTTTCCAGTCAATGTGCCAGTTTTCCAATAGATATGCCAGTTTTCCAATGAATGTGCCAGTTTTCCGATGATTCCGATGAATGTGCCACTTTTCCGAAGTGCGGTGGCTCTCTGCCCTCTGTTGGAGGTGCACGGGGAGGGCGAGGATGATGATGGCAGGTACTGATGATCGATGACTGAGTGAGTGGATGGGTGCATCGAGCGGACACCGTCTTTTATTGACGGCCGGCCGGCCATCCTTGCCCTGTGTCTCTCTCCCTCCTGCTGCACGCCCGCGCTCTCTCCAACTCTCTCACTGACTTCAGAAAGCATTGACTGGTGCGTGCTGCGTTAGATCTTGAGTGTATCTACTGGAAAACTGGCACATTCATCGGAATCATCGGAAAACTGGCACATTCATTGGAAAACTGGCATATCTATTGGAACACTGGCACATTGACTGGAAAACTGGCATCAGGCAATGGAAAACTGGGTACAGGCGGCAGAAAACCAGTTTTCCACGTGGGAGTGCCAGTTTTCCACTGCAGATCACCAGTTTTCCACGCAGGTGGTCAGTTTTCCACTGCAGATCACCAGTTTTCCAGTGCAGGTGGCCAGTTTCCCACTCAGGGCCTCAGTTTTTCACTGCAGATCACCAGTTTTCCGGGCCCCTGGCTCAGTTTTCCGCATGGGGCCCCGGTTTTCCGCACAGAACACAGTTTCCCACCCCCCCGGGTCAGTTTTCTGGCAATGTACCGCTTGTAGTGCGAGTGCGGCGACAGGGGAGACACAGGAACAAGTGAAATGACTGCCGGACCAATGAAATGACCACAGGGAGCGGTCTCGATGCCCAGCTCGTGCTTCAGAGCCTTCTATTTCCGTTCGTTTGTCCTTTCTCCTTGCCGTTCGTCTGCGAGCTAAGCGAGGGCAAGTGAATTCCCATGCGGCATCCATCATGGCGTGTGAGCGGCGAGCGGCCTCCGGCATGCAAGATCCGAGCGTCAACACTGCAGTTCCGACGGCTCACGACCTCCCTTGCTGTGAGCCAGCCCTCTTCCCCAGCATTGCTTCGCGTGGTGCCGCCCTTCACGCGTCCATTCATCAGTCGCGACGAGGAGAAGACAGTCCGCACGGTGCTGCATCAGGTGGGCCAGTACGACGCCACAACAAAGCTCTCACTCAAGATCTACCACCTCCAGCAACTCACAAGGACCACATTCAAGGTGGGCAAGGACAGCCGCCACCTAGGGATGGACGGGATATGCACACAGACCGAGCACAATGAGTGATCTATCTCTCTTGCCTGTGTCTTGAGTATGCAGGCGAGTCAGCTGCACAAAGATGAGCGCTTCACCGAGCTCGTGCGCAGCGTCGAGAGTGGCGTAGCGAATTTGTCTCCGGCACAGCTGCTGGCCCTTGCGCTCTCGGCGCGCAAACTGCACATCCGACGGCCATCCCTGTGGACACAAGTGGCCTACCACCTGAGAAGGCACTGCAAGAGCCCCAGTGCATCGCTTGCAGGTAGGTAAAAAAAGCACCACATCCCACACGAACATGAGCATGTATGTATATATGTGGCTGTGCTGTGCCGCTGGCTGTCTTCAGGCATCAGTCTCTCGCAGGTGTGTCTGAGCCTTCATGCGTTGGCGCGTCACCGGGCCAAGGTGCGCAAGATTCACCTGAATGAGCTGCTGCGCTTCGTGCTGTCCGAGCGGCATCTGCTCAACGAGCACGACATCGCGTGTGTGGCTTACGCGATGCGCAAGTACGGCCTCAAGCCATCGCGAGAGGCCATGCACAAGGCTAGCCAGTGGACCAGAGACAGAATGCAGAAGAGACAAAGACACGAACAGGTTGGGAAGGATGGCACCAAAGGGCCACTGTACGTTTCTGTCATGATGAATTTGTCGCCATGGGTGCAGTATCGATTGCTGCGGAACTTTAGCGAGATCGAGAGCCGGCAGGTACTGTATTCCAAGGTGCTACGGTCCCTCTCCCGTCGTCTGCGAGACAAGCTCCACTTCACCTCACCCAAAGGCGTCATCGCCACCCTATTCCAGTTCGCCTGCCTGGGCTACCTGCCACTCGTCACCGTCAGACGCGCCACACAGCACCTGTCCGGCCTGCTTCACACGCTCGACGACCAATCCGTGGCTCTGCTAGCTCTCTCATTCGCCAAGTGGCAGTTGCCGAACGAGGCCTTGCTCAAGCGCCTGGGCAAGGAGGTGGGGGGCAGTGCTGAGAGGTTTGCGCGGCTGGACAGCCATTGGTTGGGGATCCTGTTGTATGCCTACGGGCGGCTGAGCATTCGCCAGAACGACCTGTTGAGGGCTGCGGCCGACAGGCTGAGGAGGGCGCCACAGGCGTTCCCTAGGATTGCACTTGCACAGGCGGCATGGGCCCTTGGTATGCATGCACACTCGGTTGAGAGGCAGCGAGGAGGAGAGGGAATTATGCCCTTCATCTTCTCTGAGTGTCTGTGATATGCATGTGCAGGTCGGCTGGGTGTCCGAGACGTGGAGGCGTGGGAGGCCCTGGGCAGAACCTTCAGGGTACGGACACAAATGGAGAACCACCAAACCGCCCCCATCCCCATCTATGGTCTCATTTCGATCATACTTGTTTTGTGCTCGTGGTGCATGCTACGTCAGAGTCGGTTGGAGTATGCGGGCACTCTGGAGCTGGCCAACGTGGCCCACGCGTACGGCAAGGTTGGCCTTCGCGACGAGGCAACACTCGACGCCATCGGTGACAAGGCCATGGACCTCGAGGTGAGGACATGCATCCACGTGCCCATTGGTGGTGTTGGTTTGCATATGTCGTATCGTGTTGTGTTGTGTTGTGCCGCCAGAGCGGGTTCACGTGTCAACAGGTGGCCAACCTCCTCGATGGCTTCATCCTGGCGGGACACTTCCGGCTGGTACGGATGGATGGATGGATGGATGAGTGGATGGATGGGTGGATAAGTGGATAGGGGTGACGCCTCATATGCACATCCTGGTTGGTCGGTTGTTTTCAGGACCTATTCGGGCGCCTGCTTGCCTATTTCGTCAAGTCGGAGACGGTCAGCAACAGCGGCACTGTCACATGACGCGCTCACACGACGACATTTTGCCTGGTGGGTGACTGACATTCGTGCAGATGGAGGGGACGCCCGTGAAGCGCTTCACCCAGATGAACCGCCTCACATTCACCATTCTAGTGGAGGTCAGCACGTAGGCAGGCAGGCAAGAAGATCCAAGGGACGCACAGTGCGGTGGAATTCATTGCAGTTCCCCGAGTTGGCGTGTCACGCCCCCCAGTCGCTCCAGCTGCTGCTTAGCAGATACAACGAGGCATTCATGGACAAACCACAACGAGTGAGTAACTTACCTACCTGGCCACTTCACGGATGCACATGCACAGCGATCCATTCGTCCGCTGGCTCTTACAAGTGCGCGTATACGCACATATTCGTCTATGTGTCTCCGTGAAGTCCTATCACGAGCAGCTGCTGTTATGTCTGGAGAGCCTTGGCCTGGAGGGATGTGTAACGCTGCTCAAGCAAAAGGGGCCCTACAGATGCGACGCGCGAATCACGTGAGGAAGCAAACACCCAATTGTGCAAAGTGTACAAATGGATGTTTCTAATGCCCGTGTTTCTGGTGTGTGGATATTGCCAAGTGGGCCACCAGATGCCGGCCCGGGCAAGGTCGCATTGGATCTGTTGAGCGAGGGGGATTACTGTCCACTCACGGGAGAGCTGCTGGGGCCCATCAGACTCAAGGTAAGCTAGACAGACAGCCAGGGAGGAATGCTCCCTTTTCTGGTATGCATCTCTGTGCCGCTTGATGTTAGGCGCGTCACTTGCATTCGATGGGTTGGCATTGGGTGGGGATGCGTCGCAAGCCGTGGCTCAGACTCAACACACTCGCGGAGAGGAGGGACGCGCTATACGACACACTACACGTACGTCACCCTGTTTGTATAACACATGTACGTATGCATCCTTCGTCGATGCATTTGGTCTTCTTCTCGGTGTCATTGATTTCATCCATCAGGGCATCCTGCCGTCACTGACGAAGCTCCCTATATCCCCCTCCCTTGACGTGGCTGCGAGCACAGCCACGGGTGGCCCGCACGACTTGACGGCCGCCCTCTCACGCACAGGGATGCGCACAACAACTGACGATGCTGGTGGCGGTGGTGGTGGTGGTGGTGCCCCGGTGGGTCGCCAGCTGCATGTGTTGGGCGCACGCGACCAGGTGGATGATCTGGGCCGAGTCACGTCGACCAACACCAAGGTGGGCGGGGAGGTGAGATGTAACACCTTGGATCGGTGGGTGCGTCCACTCTGTTCTTTCTCCAGCGGTCAGTCAGCGGTTGGAGTGATGGTGTCAATCAGAGCACTGACGACGAAGGTCAGTTCGGACATTTTCAAAAGGAGTGGACGTGTGCATGCATGGCTGATACATACATACATCCTCTATACGTGTGCAGGGGCCCAGTCAGAGGCAGAAGCGGACCTGCCCGAGAACGTTGGTAAGCCATCAACTCGCTCCCACCACAAACCGTCCATCCATCATTGCCTCTTTACACTCAGGTTTCGCCATCAATTGGACGCGCCCGCAAAATCGCCATCAGTCCGCCGCGCGGCGGATCACCGTCAGCAGCCGTCGAGACACTCAAGGTACCGAGAGCGATGGAGAGGGCTCGGCACCCGACACGACGGGCGAATACGATGACACGGACTATGACGCAGTGGACAGGAGTGCGGGTGGTGGTGTTGACAAGACGTGGGTGGACTATGACGAGCCGGAGGACCTTACGGACCTGACGTGGGGCGGAGGTCAATCCGATGGACACGATGAGCATGAGGACACTGCCGGACAGAAGACGCCTCGAGCTTTGAGGGAATGAAACACTGTGGCAGCCCGGATGAATGGACGGCCGTGTACGTGTGATGATAGATAGATGTGTCGATGCTTCCCCGTCTGTCGTGTGTGTGTTTGTCGATGAGTGAAGCAGCTGAATAATGCATTGACCGGGGGGCCTTTCTGTGAATGGGTCTATTCTTCAACCATATGCCGGCATAGGAAGCCGCGAACGGCCGGCATGCATCACGTTCATCGGCCGACTATCCCCACCCACCCACAACAGCACCTGCGGCTTAACCCACACACACAACCATCAGCACCCAAGTCCATCGAGCACTAGGGTGCATCAGAAGACCGTCATGGATCCCGGTTTGGAGACCACAGCAACACGCACACGATGTCAATCACAGTATCAGTGAGGCGCGTCGGCGCTGACGCGGACGTCGACTGTCTTTCTCTCGCTCTGAGGGTCGCCAGCAGGCTGGAGCATGTGCCTGCTACTGTAATGAATTGTTTTGTGGTTGTCTCTACGTGACACTGTTTATGATAATCCTGCCTGTCGGTGGACATGGAGAGAGGTCTCTGCCTGTCGCAAAGTGCATGCATGCATACGTGTCTGCGTGTGCCACCGTACCGTTTTTGTCTCGCTATCCATTCTCCCCCCGGCGTCACGACATTTGTGCTGCATGTTTGTTCGCCTGTCTGCCCCACGCGTGTTGTGTGACATATCGGCGCATCAGGGACGGCACTCGCTGATGTCTCTCGTCGTGGTGAATGTATCCACTTTCTCCGGCCTGTCTTGTTCGCGGTGCAGGAATGCTCGCCGTGTCTCTGATTCATCGATGACGTGTTCCATGAATGATCGCTACATGTGAGCGGGGCGTGCCATCTCCGCCGGTGTTTTGAAGCACCGATCGTCCGTCCCCTACACATACATGCAGAGCTATGTACAAATAAAGGACAAACGACAAACACGCATGCTTAGACACTCACGCACCCCTCGCCTAAGCTAGCAAGGCATTCCCCCGTTCGGCTCTCTATCTAAGTGTCCGCGTGCATCTAAGGGAATGTCTTCTTGGTCATGATGGCGTAGAAGTCCTCCGGGGACACCTCCCCATCGCCGTTGCTATCCGCACGGGATATCATGTCCTGCATAAACAAACACAGGGACGAGAAATACGCTCCCGTGTGCAGGGGTGGGTGGATCGGGTCAGAGTTCTGACGGACCTGTAACTCTTCCTGCGTCATCAGCTCGCCTGAAAGACAACAGACAGGGGCGTTGAATTCATCTATCCATCCATCCATCCATCCATCCATGTGGTGCCATCACCTAGTCGTTGTGCAGTCCATACATGCATGCAGTGCAGCGCATTGCGTACCCAGTTCCCGTGCGATTCGCTGAAGGTTCTGCACGGTGATGCTGCCCGTGCGGTCCTCATCAAACAAATGAAACACCTGCATGCATCACACAGAGAGAGAGAAGAAAACGGGTCAGGTGTGTGCATGCATACCTTCATGATATCGTCTTTGGTGTCCCGCTCTGACGTCTTCGCTGTCATCATGTCGAGGAAGTCCTCAAACGACAGCCTGTGGGACGTCTGCTCGTCGAGGTCACTCACCATCTGAACCATCGAACCAATGAAGCAATAAACACGAAAGAGCAACGCAGCACGCCTGCCTGCCTCTCTAGGCACACACACGTGGTAGAGTGTCTGGTTCTTTGCGTCGAGTCCGAGTGAGAGCAGGGCCTTCTTCAGGTCCTTGGCATCTGCAGCACATGCACAGCCCACAGCCGCCATACACACAACGTCCATTCATGCCCGTCACTCAGTCAGGTACCTATCTGGTTGGTCTGGTGAACGTCGAACAGGTCAAACGCTGCACGCAGCAGCCACATAGGGAAGCATAGACTCGATGGATGGATGTATACAGCCCGTCATGCATCCAGGTTCGTTTTGCGTTGCCCACCTTCTTTGATCTCTTCGATTTCGTCTACTGTGAGGCCCGGCCTCTCGTATCTCCGGGCGTGGAAGGCAGATCCCGGTACTGACGATGCGGCTGATGGTGCTGCCGCTGAAACGCTACGCATAACGCAGAATAACACGGAGAGTTGGGGGAGATGGAGAGGGAGCCCTGTTTTCCTCCTTTTTTCTTTTCCCCTGCTAGCAACGAGTGTGTTGCACGCCGGCTGACCCTAAACATCATGATGTGGGGGATGCGTGAGGGGGGGTGGGAGGGGCAATGGAGGAATGGAGGAATGGAGCACGAACTGGGCATCGAGACCGCTCCCCGTTGATGGTCATTTCATTGACCCGGCAGAAAAATTTTGCGCGATGGTGTCTCGCCATCTGTGTATGGGAGTTTTTCGGGCTCGCTTTTGGCAAACGACTGGCGTACTTCCGGGAAAAAACGCGACTCGACGAGTCCAAGTTGAACACATCCATTCGATGGACTCACAAGACAGTATATATATATAGATATTTTAAATCAGCCGACAGATAGCAATTCCTGTCAAATGACGAGCAATTGATGACGAGCGGACAGCTGGAACAGTTGGACTAACATGCTCGTTTTCATGTCATTGTCGTTGATGTTCATGTCGCAACACATAGGCGGCCACTAACATGTGCATACGTCAGTAACGTGTCACATCCGCTCACACATCCAGGCAGCATCACACTCTTGTATTTGCGTGGAATGGAGACATAAGGCAGTGGTGGCGGAGGGGAACTGATTGAAAGACAGCAGGCGCACGGGGCTATGTCGATGGAGAACAATCGTTGCACGTAGGGACCTCTCCAGGCAGTGGCGGGCTGTGATTCCCTCAGCCAGACACTTGCTGCACACAGACGCAGAGGCATCCTCCCGGCATACACACAAGACCAGCATTCTCCAGTTTGTGGTGTGGGTGACCTAGCTTGGAGCCGGGTCACTCAGGTCCCTGCCAGCTGCCTGCCTCAACGAACCTGACACACAAACACCCATGGGCACCCCTAACATATTTGCGCCCGCCACGAGCAGCCATGAGACACACATAATTAAGTACACGGTGCGCATGTCAGTGACACACATTGTCACTTTCGTTTGCCGATGCAGATGGTGATGCCGCCGCCCCAGCCGCCCCCGATCCATTCGCACTTGATTGATGGATCGCACCTGATTGATGGAAAGACGGGGGAGGGCAAACAACATCTCGATGTGCTCATTCATCGCGTGATGGTTACTTAGCCAGCCTTTCCTTCTCTCCGTCATACCTCCCTCTATCTTGCTGTCCTGTGCTCTCCGTTTGTCAACACTTTACACCCGCCTTTCGCCGCACCTTTTTTATTTTGGCGCAATCAGAAGGGGACGTACAAACGGTGACACATAGACAATATCAAGTCAAATATTTTGTTATTGCTTTACCGCAATGCGAACTCAAAACAGACCTCAAAACGACATGCACTGAGTTCAACCATGCACTCTCACACTCGCACGTAAGGAAGAGTGTCAGTCAAGGCAGTCCAGGCGTTCTATCTTCCATATCTTCATCTTCAGCCGATAATTTGCTGAAGGTTTCCCTTTCATTGACTCTGGCAGCGACAGGTGCTTCCGTGGAAATGAAGGGCGAGCCTGAGGGGGGCGACAAGATCTGTGCCACGTCTCGCGTAATCGACTGGCAAAGCGGGTTGAGCGCTATCTGATGAACCACACGAATGGCATACATCCGTCGCACACATCCCGTGTGGTCGCTAGCGCAGCTTGTAATGTTATGCGTGTAGTACCTGTGACGCATGAACGTCGAAAGGGTTCTCCTAGAAAGAGAGAGCGCGCGCAACCAGGAATGATGACAGGCAGGTGTGTGCTTATGATCTTACGATATATTGGCCGATCGACTCGATGCTGTAGAAGGCCCATGAGATTCCGGACACTACTGGCACGACCCAGAACCTGCACAGGCAGCGAGACAGCGGTGTTTCAGCTACCTCGCTACTTCCAACTTCTGACCCGCAGTTTGCAACCAATGCATAAGGCAAGGTGATTGTGAACAGCGACAGAAACCTGCACACAGCCAAGGAAACGCAATCGACTTGAGTTGATTAAAAATGATTCGGTTGGCTAATGGGGACTGATTGTAGACTCACTCACCTCGACGTGTGCCTTGAGTAGGCCAAAGGGACGGGGACCTTCACAATACGTCCACAGTTGCCGGCCAAGTCAACCAATTGGCCTGCCCGTCGACACGACCTACATCAGATCTAGCCTCATATCTAGTTGGTACAATGGGCGCACCTATGAGACCCTCCAAGTAGAGGCGTTCCCTGTCGTTAGGCGCCTCACCGCCATGTTGCTCCTTGGCATGTCTGAGACAAGCTGACAAGAGCTTACACACCTGAACGGGGGGCTCTGCAAGGACGGAACAGTGAAAACATGAGCGCCGCTTTCTGTTTGTCTACCTTGTGTCCGCGTAAGGAGGCGGACATCGTCTCCCTCCAGAAAGCCTGAATCAAGCACAATGCACTGGTCCGTCGATCTCGCCGTTCTCTCTGCTTGCCCTGAACTGACTAGCCTTGAAACTCCTTCACACACAGGACGCCCCGCATGCCGCTGTACCTGGCGACAAAGAGAAAAGCAAAGATTGATTTCGGGCATGCACTTATTCGTTGTACGTGGACGTACAGATGCTGCTTCAACACATAAGGGAATGCGCACAAGAGATTGGCCAGGCGAACGTGATACTCACGTGGGACGTAATTGGACGAAAAATACGCTGAATGGACCGAGAGAGCAATAGACGACCCTGCACCTTGATTTGTTTGCTTGTGGGGGTGTCTGTGTATGCCTGCGTGTGCGCCCTTTCTCCTCTACACTCACCAATCCTACGAATGACCGTGACCACCCTTGTCCAAAGCGTTCGCCCTTCCCAAAACCTACTATACCCGGTGTTCGTTCGGAAAACCAGTAGGAGACCTAGCGCGGTCCCTGCAAAAGCACACGACAAGTACACCACCAAAGGCAGCACATTTGTGCATGCATAACGACCAACCTGCGATTGAGTGTGCGGATGTGCTGGCGCCAGCGAAAATGGACGGATACGCCACGTTCAGACACGCTGCCAGAAAGGCTGAGCACATGACGAGAACGAGTCGATGGCTGATCCGTCCGAGCATCTGAAACGTGTGAAGAGCGAACAAAGGACGAAGCAAGGATGACGTGCGTGTAGCAGACAGGATGATCTTACCACACTGCGCGGCAGTGATTCGAGAGTGTATCGCCAATAGGTTGACTGATACCTGAGTGATCCAAACAACGAGAAGCACTGGTGCGCTGCGCACCAGGAAGGGCTTCTTGCTTCACTGTAATCCCAGCCTACCTCGACTCGGGGAGCAAGTGATGGTCACTGTAATCGAATTCGGCGGCTGACGGCGGGGTGGTCATCTGCAGTGCCCTCACTGCTTTATGACGGCAGCCTCTTGTGAAAGTGGCTGATCTGGTCATCCCATTCGCCCAGCATTGCCGCGGATGGATGTAAGCTTGATCTGCAAGAAACAAGCCCTACAACGCACGCAGCGAGGCGACGCCGTACATTGGCCTACGTGCTGTTGATCTGAAGCCTACACAAGCATTGATCATCGTGTTCATCAGACCAGAGGTATCTCCGTAAAACGGTTGCTAATAATGTCGTTTTCCGTCTGTCACTGGCGGATCAAAACAAGACAGCCGAATGAAACCGCCATGGTTTGCATGAACATTGGCGGCACAAGGCCATCATGCAGGTTTGCATGAACAGCTGACCACGAGACCAATTGCGTGTCGGCGTGAAGAAGTTCGAGGATGATGCTATATAGCCGTGTGTCGGTTGGTATGTATGTATGTATGCGTGCGCATGGATGTGTGTGTGTGTATGTGTGTGTGTATGTATGTGTGCACATGTATCGGTTGATCAGATGGATGGATAGAGAGCCACACACGCATCGTACTTGTCAAGTAGTGTCATTGACAACTATCACACATAATGCGTGACATCCATCACACGCACATTCGATCAGCCAAGAGAGATCCATGTGTGTCATGACACACGACGCACGCACAGTTCAAGGTCGGAGCGCTTGAAGTTGGCTCGGTCGAATCGGTCAACAAACACGATGTTAAGGTCTCACATGCGACGTCATCGCACATAGCCCCCAAGACAATGCACAGGCGCCAAGATACCAAGACAGAAGCATCACATTAATCCACACTAGCGACAAACACCCCGACTCGTGCAACTACTCTTTTCTGGCTGACCATGCATATGACTGACAGAACCATCGATTCAACGGGGAAAAACAACCGAAAGAAAAGGGGCGAGGTTGCTCGCCGGCCGGCACATGGGCGGCTTCCGGCAGCAACCACGATGTCAACACAAAGACAACAGCGATTCATGGCGTGATTGGCTGCCTGAATTGCATATGGTGACGTACAACGCAAAGCTGACATGAATGCAATGGATGCAGTGGTTCACACAACATGACACGGCCCAGTGCGATCTGTCCGTGTACATGGGCGAAGAGATGGACCATCAATTGTGTATGCCTTAGTGATCTTCAGCCACGCGTTCACGGGTGCTCCCTTCCAAAAATTATCGCCTCATCAGTGAACTTGGCGCCTTCACAACCCCTAATGCGTTCCGTGGGCTCACAATTGCCATCGTGAGCCATCGTGATCACGCGCTGCACACATACAAAGACACACATCGGTAGAAAGATGGACCGCATGTCCTCCTCTTTCCTCTCAGGAATCCATATGTCGCGCACGTACCGCTCGGCAATGCCTCTTGCGAGGTCCTTCGGGTTTAACGCAAGACACCTGTACCAAAAAGGCGAAAGGCGTGGTCCTTTGAGAATAGTTGTGTACGGGCGTGTGTATGCATATACCGTGACGTGCACTCCTTTGTGGTCATCAGAACCTTGGTCGCCTTCTAGATTCTTGATATCCAACACGATCGACTCCTCAAAAAAGTTGCTCCCAAGATCGGTGCTCCTTTCACTCCGGACACAGTGATCCGTTGGTTGTCTGACTCAGAAATGGCCCAGATACCCACACAGTTTGCAAAGAGCAGAAGTATGGAAGTCAGATGAATGTACCCACTCGTTCCTCCGGGTGCATATCTTCAGATCAACGTCGCCTTCGTGCGAGTCGACAGCTGAGGGTACAGTCACAAGACACTCATGGAAAGAGGCAAGCCGGTGTGTATCATGGCGTGGTCCAGCCGTTACCGACAACGATGTATGGGAATCGAGTGTATGTGTCCCAGTTGACATAGTCGAAAAAAGGGTATTCCTCGTCGATGTCTCGCGTGCAATCCACCCAAGGGACTGATCGAACGAGAAAAGAGTCGAGCCAGTCATGCATGGCCTTACACACGGTCGAATGACGTGTTTCTCTGTCCTTTTGTGGACATACGTGGACAAGCTTCGGCCTCCCTGAAGCTATCTGGGAACCCAGGCACACAGAATTGAAGTCATCAGAGCAAGCAAGGCAGAGCAACGTAGTCTGTGAGTTAGCCACCGGTGCCATTTCGAACGTCTTCCACTTCGACTGCCGCCTCAGATGTGCTGTTTCCCCTGGACCGCTTCAGGCTCATGAGGCGGCGCTCGATGTGCTCGGGGTTGGAGAGGGCTGAAAGGATGACATAATTGGGCTGGGCGACGGCCGGCGCGAGGCAGACGGCGAAGAGGAGGAGAGAGACCATGCGGGAGCGGGGGAGCGAGCCTTTTTCACACAACGTACAGCAATCATAAATCCCCCTTTCTGACCGTTACGGTCCAAAAAAGGGGGGGGG